GGAGACTTGATCCTAACTTATCGGATTCTTCATGGATTTCTACCCTCACTGAGTGATATGTTCCAGATAAACGATGATACACGATTAAGAGGACATAATTTTAAACTTAAGAAGGAACATTTCAGGTCGTCAAATCGGCAAAACTTCATAGTAAATCGTGTTTTCTCGGCATGGAACAACCTGGATACAGACATAGTTAATGCACCCTCAGTATCATCATTCAAAAGTCGATTAGATCGTATTACTGAGTAAATTGTTTTTGTTTTTTTTCAGTTTGCATCGCATTATATCTGTCTATTTTATTTCGAAATGTTCAATTTCTATTCAACATTTTTAATTGTTTTTTCAATTTTATTTTTAATCTAATTGTCTAGTAGCTATTTACATATATATATAATATTTCTTTATGTGTACCATACAACTATGTCATGTATAAATGGGCTTTTATAGGTTCACACCTCAGCCCATTATCACTTTTTAATAATAATAATAATAATAATTATTCAATTCTGTTTTGGAAGGATGTTAAAGTTTGCTACGTTAGGCTGTATCAATCAGATGGATGGCAAATTTGAATTTGTCAGGTTCCCATCAAATGCAAATGAACTTAGGGAAAGTGAAGTGACCGAATGGGAAAAATTGGTAAATACATCAGCAAAATATTCGAGATGAAACTAATACGAAATCACATATTATACTTCCTCATTGTGCCTATAATTATCCACTCCACAAGGTTTTGAATGCATTTTAGTAGAAACAGTTTTGATTAAAACGGAGGATTAAAAGAAGAGGCATAATGCCCTACCATTTAAAAAATTATACCTACATTAAGGAAATATTGAGTGTTCGTGAAAAATTGCAAAAATGATTTCCAACATGAGTATATACAGCACACATGACATCATATGAGCACATTAGTTTGAATAACTACATACAATTTTTCACTATTTCTCAACCATAAGGCTTAGTCTGAAATCAAAATTCATTTATTGATAGGTTCTGCCTAGGAACAGTCCCATTTGGTAAAACGTATTAAACTTTCAGAAAAATTTGCTCACTGCCTCACATAGATTATGCTGGAGTTGAAAAATCAAAAACTCGAAAATTATCATCATTATTTGGATATAATATGTACAGTTGAATGCGGAATGGCATGTGGAAATTACGTATGATACGCCAATGTCCTCAATATAACCTAAAAAACAAACAAATGTTAGAAATCTGGTTTTTATCCCCAGAAATGAATGAAGATGGAACTATATAACTGTTTCACAAACACTTTAGAGTGAGAGGAGACGAGGATCTGTCCGTACCCTGATAAGATGACAAATACGTTAATTTACATCATAGATTAATAATCTATGTTTACATCAAGCGACCCTACCCTGCCCTAGTCAGCATCAAGATTTGTAGGAACAATTCACTGCCCAAAATTCGTTCGATCATAGGACGACAAATATTTAGAATTTAGGAAAACATTCCCAAGAACCGTCAAGAACCTACATGGTAAATTCGATATTTCCTAAATGAGAAACCTTTTCAAAAAAATCTGAAACATGTTGATTTTTAATTTGAATGGTCCACATGTCACAACAAGAAGATAGAAAAATAGAGTGGAAATCGGAATGATCATAAAACCTTGTCTGGACGGTTTTTCTTTGAGAAAGAACGTACTTCCCTGTACTTCCCAGACTAGGCCGGGAACTATCACATCGTTGTTGTCACTGTAACTATGAAAATCTTTGTAGATATGGTTTTGATGAATGCAGATGATCATTACCATAGCAGCGAAATAACGGCTTACAGCTATTTGACATGAAATTAGTTGACATTTTGATTTTTGAAAGTTTGGTTGCAATCCTTCAAATTTTTCCGATATTTTTCTAAATTTTCTACGAAAACTCTTTCATTTGGCAATGATATGAATGTTTGAAAGATTTTGCCTCAAATAAAGAAGTTTGACTGATGGAAATGAAAAATTATCGGGTAAAATTTGAGGGACCAGTTGAATCGTCGACCGGGGCTATATCGGACGATATTTTCAATCATTTGCCTTTATTTCTTTTGTTATACAAAATTAAAGCTAACTTATTTATTCTAAAGCAAGAAGTTAAGGAAGGAATCCTCGCATCTTCCTTTCTCCACAAGTCCTGGGAAGAGTACATCCATATATCTTTCTCTCTCTTTGATTTTTGTGTGGGAGTGCATAGCGTCTCCTCGAGTGGGTACGATAAATTGATTAGAAGATTATTTCTTCTCGAAATATTGAATGATGAGGCTGAAGGACTTCAATGGAAGTCGATATCAAGTTGGTATGTACATATACTCGACAGGCCCAGTTAGCACATCCTTTTGTCGTTAGCCTCGAGATATGTCGAGCAACTCTTTATCAAGACTCGCGGCAATTCGAATAGAGTGAATTGTTTTCCCGTGTTCTCACAGTTGGAAACTGCACAAACTTGCATCTCTCTCCTAATTCTCTCAATTTGTCAAACCTTTGAAATTTATGTCATGTGCGACCGTGGATTGTCAGTTCCCGCTTTTCCATCATTTTATTTGTGGTTATGTCTGATTGTCAGTGCTTGTCATAGTGTCCGTACTCTAATATACTGTAGCACCCTGTATGTGAATTGCTTCGCATTGGAAATAGTCTCTTGAAACTTAATCATTTTCTCATACAGATGACTTGGTGATGGGATTGTTTGTTCCGAACAATGGCTCGGATCAAGTCGCAAAGAGCGCCGAACTCCTGAGCAAGATTTAGTACCGTGAGATCGAAAATATGAAACAATGATTATCAGTTAATTTTTTATCATGAGGTGCTGATGCTGAGAAATGATGGGAATAAGATAAAGTTGTAGGTTTTCTCAGGCAGGCTGTCTTTCTGAGACATAAGCAAAATTCATAGCGGCCATAATCATAGTGGGCGGCACCTAAGAGGAAAATTTAATCTTGGACAAATGGGAATGAAGATCGCGACTAAAAATTGAAGACGAAGACCACCGGATTGGCGAGCATAGAATGGGAATGGGATTTTTTTGTTTTGGTGGAGACTGAAGAGGGAATGGGATTTTGCGGGACGAGTGAACGAGGAGTCAGCGACAGGTCGCGTTCGAAAAAGGGTTCGGGCGAAGAAATCGTGAGGGTAGGCTCGCGACAGGTGGCAGATATTCGGGAAAACTTTAGGTCACGGTCGTACGAGGGAGGACTAGCGAGTCCTAGGGAATTCGTTGTCAGTTTGGGAGGATAAATAGAGAATACAGAAACGCGCAGTGACCGAAACTTAATATTTTTTTGTGGACTTTGTAAAAACGGGAGTTCGATACGGTGGTTTAAGTGAGAACTTTGAGAATCTTATTGTTCACCCTGAGAGGCGAGAGGTGTTCGCCTGTAGCGGCTCACAACAAATAGGAAAATCAGCTCACGGAAAGCTCAAAGAGTAAGGAAACCCATTTTTTTTGTTAACGTCACTAACAATACCTTTTTGAGTCTATTTTGGGAGGAGAATGTTGTTAATTAGCTTTGAAGCAGCGTATGATCATACAAGGTACTACATAGCCCCTATTCACGTTAGATAAGCCCTTCACATATATATTTATCAAACTAGATAGTTGTTCGTATCTTAATTAGAATGATTTTATTTGATGTCCTTACAATTCTCTATAGTTTAGTCCGAGTCTTCAACTTCATTGAATAGAATACATTAATTTGTTTTTAAGAAAATTTCCAAACATTTTGTGTCATTTTATTTCATTCATTTTTTTTATTTAGATTCAATAAACAGCTTAACTTGAAATCAGTTTCTTTTACTTGTGGAATCTTCAATATACCCTTATCTCATGCTAAAGACCTACCCTCTGGCGTAGGCCGAACTTAGGCCCAATTTCGGCATCAGGCCGCCGCCTACAGCATTTCAAGAAATAAAACACACATAGGGTGATTTTACAATACGAAAAACGTCAAAACAGCAGTGTCAAGTACATTTAGGAACTCTAGTCGACAGAGACTACAGGCACGAATTCAATATTACCCGAAACGTGGATGCCGTGCCATAAGGATGCGATGCAACAAATTATCTGTGTGATGAGGAATTATTCTACCTGTATAATGATTTGGGTAGCTTACTGGCCCGATTTGCCAAAGGTTGTGAATTCGACTCTTGTATGCTGATGCTCTTAGATTCCATCCAGAGAAGAGCCATCCGCCTAGTGGGTGACGCCACACTCACTCACTCTTTGACTTCATTGGAACACCGTAGAAAGGTCGGCGACCTTTCACTTTTCTATCGATACTTCCACGGGAAATGTTCTTCGGAAATTTCTGCTATCATCCCTTCACTAGCAATACCAATCAGACGAACTAGACAAGCCCAGTCAGCACATCCTTTCGTTGTCAACCTCGAAAGATGTCGAACACCACTTTATCAAAACTCCTTCATCCATAGAACGGCTAGGCTCTGGAATTCATTGCCTGTGGAAGTATTCCCAACAACATATAATCTCCAAAAGTTAAAAAAAATTCCAATACCTACCTCCTGTCCCTATCCTCCCTAGGAACGCACGATGTTCTTTGAACATTATAGGGATTCCCTTTCGTGCGCTCCAAGCGATAAAAAAAAGTCATCAATTGAAAAAAAATACTGTGGAGGCATCTACAGATCAGGTTCATTCAATTCTCAAGGATGTTTGAATTGTAGTTGCAATATAAATATTACAAATTGACTACGTAATTGTGTCGAGTTTCTTATTGAGTATAATGAATACTAATCTATGTTGTTTATTCTTGATGACCTAGTACATCCCTTTCAGTTTCTAGGAGTTGAAGTTCAACTTTAGCTTCTAGGATCTAAAAGTGTTGCCTAGCAACATACCTATTTTTGTGTCAGTAATAGAAACGTCAACTTCAAGAGCTAATTTTTTAATAAAAATGGACGACTTTGGAGTCGGTTGCAGAAAAAAAATTATTTTCGAGACGGCTGCAGGAAAAAGAACTTCTTTCAGGAATACTACACAGCCAAAGAGTACTTTCCGAAATCACCGAAATGGTGCGTACCAGCAACCTCATCCACAAGAGCATCCTCAACATACCTCAAGATGACCTTGACGCGGAAGACCTCAATTTCGGCAACAAACTGTCCCTTTTGACCGGCGACTATTTGCTGAGCAGCAGTTTCAAGGAGCTGGCAGGTTTGAAGTGCCATGAAGTTAACGAATTGGTGTCTACTTGTCTGAGGGATTTGGTGGAAGCGGAATTCATCGAACCAAGAGACAGGTAGGTGAAAGGGTGCTGTTTCTCATCCATTTTACTCCAAGAGAATTGATGGAAAACAACGGAAACCAAAGAAATTATTTCCATTCTACTGCAGTATCATTTTCATCAAATGAATTTAGACCTTCTCAAATCAAACAATCTATATGTTTATTCATCACCAAAACACATTTTGTTGAAGAACTATAACATCGACTAACCAATTTCATTTCACAAACAAATGAAGGTAAAACTGCATTTAGCATGCGATGGGTTTTTTTTTCGAAAATTTTTTTTGGTACTTACGTATTTTTGTCTGAAAAACACGAATTTGATAATGAAAATGTGAACAAACCATTATTTATCAAGATATTTCACTATAAAGTTTCAAATTTCACCTTCTTTTCCGCTTGTCTTCTGGATTGAATTTTAAACAATTCACCCTTCTTCTTTCATCATTGGACAATTTATATATATCACAATGTGAGACACATATTTTTCTATTATTGAGTCAACTAGAAATATGATTTTCTTGTGATTTATCCATATTTATTGAAAAGAAGGAAGAATATCATTTGAAATAATGGCGTGTGTAATGTCATTCCAAAGCAATCTATTGACATTTGACATCTCGTATTTGGATTGCCTATGGATAAAATGGCCGTCATCTGGTATGCTTGCTCACTAAATAGGAAAAACTCACCATAAAAATCATATTAACTGTTGAATTTTCTGTATAAAAATGTGTCATTGAAGTACATCATGAGTATATAAAGTGTCCAATGACAAAATAAGAAGAGCAAGTACCTGAAAATGCATCCAACGCAAGGGGAAAAAGGAGTCGAAATTTCGAACTTTTTTTTGAAATATCTCGATAAATAGTGGTTTGTTCACATTTTCATTATCAAATTCGTGTTTTTCAGACAAAAATACGTAAGTACCAAAAAAAATTTTCGAAAAAAAACCCATCGCATGCTAAATGCAGTTTTACCCAAATCAATCTTCAAAAGGCCTATCAAATCACAATCCTTTCAATATGTTAACGAAATGCCACCTAAAAAAATCACAAATTCACAAGGACACAAACCCGTATACTCTGTTCAAATGTCCATTTAACTGAAAAATAATCCACAAATGTCAACAATATAACACTCAGATAATAGCTATACCTACCTAATGTATCATAATAAGCTACTATACAGGGTGGCCCACGGTCGATGGTACCTTAGACGTCGTATACGGAAAACGGTACATTGGATTATCCTGAAAATTTGGTTACTCTAATAAGCGTTTGTGATCTAACGATTCAACGTTGCCACTTTTACCAAAAAGTAGCATCATCTTTGTTATTTCAAATGGAACACCCTGTATTTCATTGCATTTTCAGATTCTTCTCGAAGAGCTGATTTCATCAATACATCACACTTGGGGTCTAGCAGGAATTACTACAGAGATATAGGGTGTTCAAAATCGAGATTTTTCAATTTCAGGAATTTTTTGTGTCGAAACTATTCATTATCGATCAAAACGGCTTACATGTCCCTATCTTAACTTTTGATTCACTATCTACTGACATTTGATTGGAACAGATACAGGGTGATCAAAATTCTGAATCTTGGACCATCCTGTATTATTTCCAATTAAATGTCGGTAGATAGTCAATCAAAAGTTAATATAGGGACATGTAAGCTGTTTTGACCAATGATGAATAGTTTCGACACAAAAAAATCCTAAAGTTGAAAAATCTCGATTTTGAACACCCTATATCTCTGTAATTATTCCTGCTAGACCCCAAGTGTGATGCATTGATGAAATCAGCTCTTCGAGAAGAATCTAAAAACGCAATAAAATACAATTGAAATAACAAAGATGATGCTACTTTTTGGTAAAAGTGGCAACGCTGCTTCGCTGAAAATATTTTGAATCGTTAGATCACACACGCTTATTAGAGTAACCAAATTTTCAGGATAATCCAATGTACCGTTTTCCGTATACGTCTAAGGTACCATCGACCGTGGGCCACCCTGTATGTTTCTCTCATACAGGCTGACTGACAAAAATCTTCCCCAAAGAAGCAAACGAAATCAAGATACTGAGTAGACTGATCAGTATTGTTTCAAATTTCAACTGAAACGTCAGCGACTGTCAACTTTTATTTTTCAAATGACACCATTTTTTTTATTGTTTATTGCTTGTTCTAGATTTTTTCTGAATCCAATGATATTTATGACAAGTTGACTTTGACGAAATTAGTTGAAATGAAAAGAGCAGCAGACAAGAGATAGTTATTAAACCAACATTTTAATAAATGCAATGAATCATCATTTGCTAGCACGTTAATGTTCGAGATCATTAACGGACCTTTCGTTTTTCAAACTAAACTACTCAACACTAATTTCGTCGCACATCAAAATGTCGCCCCTGTTATAATGTGAATAAGATTTTTCCGTTTAGAACAAGTTGATTTTCATTCAATTCTCCTCCCAACCGAGATTCGGAGGGCGTTCCAGATTTGGGTCACTTTCAAGAAAACTCTAGAGCTTTGATAGCCATCTTGAGTCAATTCTGATATTCAGATCTCTTCATCTGAAGTTTTATCTTCAAAATGAACCTAAGATTTCCAAAATCGGTTGACGTGGAAAAAAGTTATGGCTGCAAAACCAAAAAGTTGATTTTTTGAGATCACTCTGTAAATAAGAGAGATAGGAAGTTGATTCGCGAAATATCTCGAGGTAATGAGATCATCTTCATGCCTCTGTTGTCGAAGTTGAAAAAACATTTTTTTCACCATTTGAGAGCCTTTTGAATATTCCGAAATTTTGCACAGTGTCGGAAAACACCATGTAGAGATTTTATGTGAATACCCTTATGTTTCAATGAAGTACCAGATTATAGCTGAAGAACTGGGCTATCGAACAGTGTGAACCAAATTCAAATTGTTCTAAACTGAAAAAAGTTATTCACATCATAACAGGGGCGACATTTTGGTGTCGAAATTAGTGTTGAGTAGTTTAATCATAATTGATATTGACAATGACCAAATGACACTCAACTTGACAGTTACTGCTGCACAAAATGTCTAACTTTTTCCAACTGAATGGGCGAGTGGTCTGAATTATTGGCATTCAATTACTACACCATTACGTTAGGGGCCTAAATTAATTTTTGCAAGACTTTTTTATGTTCGAAATCGTTGAATTTCAGAGCTCAATTCACAAACGTACCGTCATGGCAGCCATTTGGCCTTGTTCTGCGATACGTCGAATAAATGATGACGTCAGTATTTTTACTGCTTCGATATTGGTCAGATAATCTTCCATTCCATAAATGTTGGAGACTTGGCAACATGTGCTGAATGCTGAAAACTGACAAGATAACGCCCACAATTCGTGCACCGCGTTGTCACGTTTACCGGTTCAAATGTCCTCTAGTGTGAATTAATATTATTATTTACACAAATTTATCATAAGCAATAAGCCACAACACATAAGGGGAAATTTCTAGACAATGGATGTTTTGTTGCTAATCAGGAATATTACCAATACATAATTGAGAATTTATGTATTATTGAATAACTAATATTTCTGAAGTTCCTAAATCGTGTGGGCAGTTTTTATTTGCGGTAAATTTCAAGCCGTTTGGAAATTACCGAGGCATTATTGATGACTTGAAAGGGATTTGAGTGATGATTCTATTCAAAAAATTAGTCCCCTTCCTATTATAAAAGGTCATGCTACTTTTACCGAAGTTAGAATTATTTCTCAGTCACCCTATAACTACTGTATACTTTTCAGCCAAAATAGGCCACTCCCTGCTCCACCGCTTGGAAAACAAAACGACATAGTGGTTCCAAATCAGTTTGACGGCGAGTTGTGTACCATTTCCGAGGTTTTGGGCAATGCCAAGGCCGAATGGACCTTGAGACACCTATTGGACGGGGCCAGTTTGCTAGCCAAATGTTGTCAGGTTTGTTGAAAATATTTACTAAATGACGTTTATCCGTATTTCAACGTTTCAACTATTTATCCCTGACTCGGTCCTTCCCGTAGATATTCGACATCGAAAAAAATAAGAAACTAAAGTTGTATGGTAAATCTCTGAAAATAATGAAGATAAGCATATTCCTTTTTCTATAATCTCAACCTCTTAGTCATTATTAATCACCTGTTTAACGCAACATTTCAGATTTCTGCTTCAAATATTAATCAACAAATTAGTGATTTTGTTTTTCAAAATATTTCAGGAACGAGTGGATTTTTTTCAGTTGACAACACCGCATATTGAAGAGGTTCAAATTACGCAACTTTTGTCTGATTTGATGAAATTTCTATTCCTTATGGTTAAGGAAATAGCAATACTGCTCCTATATGAAATCGGCGGGACCCTGTCAATTCCAAGATGTCTAACCTAATCTTCATCAGGTTATATTATATTCAGTATCACTATACAAGGCATAACGGTGATTCGGAAATAATGAATTCGTCTTCAGCCCACAGGAAAAACTCAATATTTTTCAAGTGTGTCACCTTGTACGATGAGATCCCTTCCATATAAAAGGCCGATAAGAGCGGAAGACATGACTGTTTGGATTAACCAGACATCATCAGTTGCACGCGGCTTGTTTCGTCTCTATCTTTCTATCTCTGAGATTGCAATCAACTCAGGACACACTATACAGACTCTGTTTCATAATATACCGGATGTAACAGGATAAACGTCACGTTTTGACATAAACATGTTTTATTTTCTATTTCCGGTTTCACCGGATGTGGTAAAAACTTTCAATTCTCAAATAGAACACCTTGTATATCATTGCATTTTTGAATTCTGCATAATTTTCTGAATCCCATGATACCACATAAGTAAAATTCCAAACTTCAATTCAAATATTCCGCACAAAACATAGCCTATTATGAGTAGAAAATGCTTACAAAAGCTGTTATCTGTGCGATGAATGGTTCCAGAGATATTCGCAAAAAAAACATTTCAACACCCTTTATCTCGAAAATAGTGCATTTTAGAGGGTGAGTTAACTTTTCTCCATATTTTTGGATGAGCTATCACATCGTCCTGATTGATACGGAACAGGTGCACCTTTTTTCTGTAAAGAGGTGTGGTTTTTCATAATCCGAGATTTGTCGAAAAATATGCATACAAAAAAGTTTGAGCAATATTTAATGGAGACCCACCCTGTATTATACACTCTTGACTGAAATTTCGGACTTTACCTCTGCATTGGGCATGGAAAGTTTAGTTCTTGTGCAGAATTGCTTCATTTAATCACTTGGCGTTTTGGAAATACTCAAGAAATATCATCTTCAGGAGGCCATAGCTCCCTTAGGAGAAATTTTTCGACTCATGTTCATTGAAACTATTGTTCCTTTTTTTGGCAGGCTAAATTCTGGACACCTGTGTTGTGAATTAGCTTAAAATGTATTTATTCTGTGTATTAATCTATATACCTTTGTATATAAGATAGTTGTTAGTGAAAAAAAAATTAAAAGTTGTCATAATAAAAAATAATTTGAAGACTGACAATAGGTTTCAGAAAAGATTATAAAAAATATCAAAAAACGTCATTCGAGCGGATCTAATACACTAATCCCAGGTGAATCACGAACGTAACTGGTCCTTCGAGCCGGATCTAATACACTAATTACAGGGAAATCACGAACAACCTGTATATGATACACCCCATATTCAACCCGAATAAATGAATTACATTTTCAGGGCTCCCTCATGCTGGCCAACCACCCGAAACCCCTCCAAAAAGCCGGCTACCTCTTCGGCAGAAACCTCGCCCTGGCAGTCCAAGCCAACAAGGACGAAACCATATTCGAACCCCTGAAAACAGGTTCTTTCAGCCTAGTGTGCGCCCCCCTATTGTTCCACCTCCAATCTGATCCCGATTTTCACAAAGTCCTGGTGAAAAACGCCCAGGAAAACTCGACCGATTACGGGGAAATCAGGAGGGTGGTGCGAGCAGGTCCTGGACTGGAAAGGACCAGGGAGTTACGGGGGGAGTTTGCCTCCAAGGCGTCCGAGGTGTTGAAGGAGTTTCCTGATAGCGAGGCCAGAGAAGCTCTGGCTAATATCATCAAGACGATTTGAATGGTGACAACAGGACAGCAGTTTGTTTTTTGTGTTGGCAGTAACTGACAAAGAAAGTTGGAGTGTCCAGAGCACTGCACAATGCGCTCCTTATATCAAACTGGGAATTTTTACTGGAAATCACAATTGAGGTCAAAGTAACAATAGTGACGACTGTCACTTCTAAGTGGCAATTACTCAGTTCGAAGTTTAACTATCACTTTGAAGTGGCAATCAGTGATAGAACTACTATCTTGACAGCTAATGTCATATGCCAGCAACCCGAATATCTCATCTAAATGAGCCAATTGCTAACATACAAATTTTCCTTCCTCTGTATAATTCATGAAATGAGGTATTCAACCAATATCTCCAAGAAATTGATGACCAAAGTCTGGCAACAGTGGTTGTAAACCTGATTCACACCATACTGATTAGACCTGTTCGTTTGTATTGCTGAACTTGCTAAAGTTGATTTTTTTCCGATAGTTGTCTCTGTCCATGGCATGATGTAAACAGAGAGAGTCATGGAAAAAAATCAAGTTCAGCAGGTAGAGCAAGCACAAATGAACAGGCCTTATGTATATTGTTTACATTGTTGTTGGAGGTTTGAGGTTAGACCATACTGACAGCTTTTTTCTAATTACTTATTCTTATTTTCGGGTATGTAAGCAAGTTTCCCTATCGCGAGGCCAGAGAAGCTCTGGCTAATATCATAAAGACGATTTGAATGGTGTCAACAGGAGAACGTTTTCGAAGCAGTTTGTTTTTTTTGTGTTGGCAGTAACTGACGAAGAACGTTGAAGTGTCCAGAGCACTGCCCTCCTTATCTCAAACTGGGAATTTTGACTGAAAATCGCAATTGAGGTCAAAGTAACAATAGTGACGACTGTCAGTTTTAATAGCTAATTCTATTGGTAAAACTGGCTTGCATTGAGTGCATATTTTGTATTACATTGGTCAAGGTTTTGAAATCCATTGGAAAACCGGTGCACACAGTTTAGAGCTCAGTGCAACAATTCTCGCACGAGCTCTAGCTCTATCGATCATGCTAAAGTCAGTACAGTTTTGAAAATGGCGGAATCATTTGAAAATTAATAGTTTGAAAGGCAAATTGTTAGTGGCAATCATATCATCATCATCAAGTAGTGATGAATAAATACCATTCTGAAATACTGCCTCCTTGTTGATTTGAAAATATGTTCGTTGTCACTCTTCGGTATTGATAATGTAATTTTATCTCTTCATTTAGTTGAAATGCTATTGCATGAAGTCCATTTATATTTTTTTACTTTCAGAAACACGAATTTGATATAAATTCGTTAAGTTATAAACAGAAACAAACCAACTATCGTCTATAACCTATAGAAAAATGTTATCATCATATTATTTCGTATTCCATTGGGAATGCACCAGTTCACATTCTGGAGAAAACCAACGTAGTGCAAATGCAAAACTGGTGCAAAACTAGTGCACCACCAGGTTAACGACTGGAGTTGCTATAAGTGGTAATTTCTCAGTTCGAAGTCTAACTATCACGTCATATGCCAGCAACACGAATATCTCATCAACATGAGCAAATTGCTAACAAATTTTCATTCCTCTGTATATTTTATGAGAATTCATTGAACGCATATTTTTCATTTTTGTGGTCCGATGATATGAGTTAAAAAAATGTTACTAAAAAAGTGAGCCGTTTCACGCCAGTACAGCCTTACAAGATTTATCGATGAATCTAATGATTCAGGAAATTTCGCTCTAAATCATAGTTAGCAATGCTACCTGAAATGAATATCTCCAAGAAATTGATGACCGAAGTCTGGCAACAGTGGTTGTAAGCCTGATTTACGCCATACTGATATGTATTTTGTTTACATTGTTGTTGAAGGTTTGAGGTTAGACCATACTGACAGCTTTCTTCTTATTACTTATTCTTATTTTCGGGTACGTAAGCGTGATTTTTCCCTATCGCGAGGCCAGAGAGGCTCTGGCTAATATCATCAAGACAATTTGAATGGTGTCAAAAGGACAACGTTTTTGAAGCATTTTGTCTTTTCATGTTGGCAGTAACTGACAAAGAAAGTGAAGGTGTACAGAGCAACTGCACTATGCACTCCTTATTTCACAATTTGGAATTTGGAAATGATGGAAATTGCAATTGCAGGTTCAAAATGACAATATTGACAACTGTCAACTATTACCTACTATCAGTTCAAAGTGGCAAATCAGTGATAATTACTATCTTGACCGCTTATGCCATATGCCAGCAACTCGAATATCTCATCCAACTGAGAAAATTCCTAACGTTCAAATCTTTATTCCTCTTTATAGTTTATGAGAATTCATTTAGCTAATATTTTTTTTTTCTGTAGTGCGATCAAATTTGAGTTCAGAAAAAATGTGAGAACATGTAGTTTCGGCTCCTCCACCATTTCCATAACGTACTACTTAGAAAAGCCATGTACGCCCAGCTTAAAATGTGAGCCGTTTTACGCCAGTACATCGTCACAAGATTAATGATTCGGGATATTTCGCTCTGACATCATAGTTAGGAATACTACCTGAAATGAGGTATAGGTGGAAATTGGATTATTTCCCAAAATTATATACAGAATACCTGAATAGACGAGCGATAAATACTAGAATAGCATAATAATTGACGATTTTAATATTATGGGTATATACAAAATAACAATGATGCTGACAGCTCGTTTTTGAGGTTGATCATTCTAATTTGAATATCTGTGGAAAAGTTGAAGAGATATTTTAATTTCTCCAAAAAGTTGATAGCCGAGGTCTGGCAACAGTGGTTGTTAAGCCTTATTTACACCATACTGATATCTATTTTGTTAACATATTTGTTGAAGGTTCTAGGTTAGACCATACCGACAGTAAGCGTGAACAAAATAAGTCAAGAAACTCATCGTAGACAAATATCTCCAAAAGTCACTAGATCTAGGTAGTACGTCATGTCTGCTTCATTCATAATTTTAAATTACTGTAGTTTGACAATTAGAATAATGTTAATGATTTGAATTGCCGTTTTAGGCATCGGAAACAGAAACCTCATACTAGGTAGTTGAATTATAATTCTATGATAATCCGTTCGAGATAAACTTCCTCATTGCTCGCCCGAAAACGCTTTTGCTCAATGCGCAAGAAACCCCAAACCATCGTTCATGACAGCGAGTCATATTTGTTGGTGTTCAGAAAGATAAGTAAGAGTGACTGAGATATATAACAGGTCATGAATTCGCATGATTCATGATCTCCAGTTCAACAGTTTGGGAGTTACTGCGTATTGAAAAGAAGCGTTTTAGGCGAACAATATGGATGAGATTTCCGGGTTGCTGGGATATGATATATTGCGGTCTAGATAGTTGTTATGTCAGTGGATAAAACAGGAAATTATCATTTGAAGAAACATCTAAGTAGTTTCAAAAATATAAAGTTGCTGGGCTTTCTATACTTCAATAAGTTTTTGACCTAATTTTCGGAATTTTACTCTATTTCATTTTGCATTTGACACGTTTGTGGCCAATCTCAAAACTTGAAATGTCTCACTTCAGAAAATATATGGTCATTGGATTCGATTTTTTCACTTTATAGAAGATGTAGCTGGGCTATGATTCATTGGGTATAGGTATATTAGAAGAAATGATTCAATGTCACGTGTTTAAAAGTGGCAATATGTCCGTCATATTGATTGGACACATTTGTGAGTGCCAATTTTCATATAAAAAAATGAGAAAACTGTTTGTTTTTGTTTTTTAGAAAAAATTAGTTCTCAACTTCTTGAAAATCTAATTTGAATGCAACAGCAAGTTGATAAATTCATTATAACTGAATTTATTCATCTTTCTTCAAAGTGGTTATTTATTTTACTTCAATGAGCGCAATGTGATTTCTATAAATGGTGCGAATTTATACACAATAGCAATAGATAATTCAGTTGAACATTATTTGTCAATATTTCCATTCAATCTCTAGTCATTCTGTGTGTTATAATAATAGGATAATAATGATAATATAAATATATTTGTTTGCTGAAACATTGAAGTAGTTTTATTCGAAGTCATGTACAGGAATTTAGATGAAGATTTTTCATTTGTCAAGTCAAAAAAATACAATGATTCCACAGAGGCTTCTCTGCAGTATACACGGTATGTCATGACGAGCTTACACTAGTTATATATCGAGAATCAGTCGGAAGAAATCCATGAAAATACGCTCCCTTCATTTAAAATTATTCAGCAATGCAGTGTTGCCGCGTCTATCAAAAAGTAGCAAAAACTTTGTTTTTTCATGTGTCAATATTGCATTTTTAGATTCCCCCTGAAGAGCTGATTTTTTTTGGGATTTGTTTGTGTGGAAACTATTCATTATCGGCCAAAACGACTCACATGTCCCTATATCAACTTTCGTTTTACTGTTCACTGATATTTAATCGGAACAGATACAGGGTGATCAGAATTCTGAATCTTGAACCCGGAAAGTAATTTGACCTCGTATGGTGTTCGGTAAGAAAATTTCACACCAGATTGTGTTTGGAAATTTAATAATTTCAGAATTTATTTGTTCATTTGATTTGCATACAGGTTCATCAATTAATTTAGTTTAGGTCGCAGTTTCGGCACCAATAATAGATTCCTGATTTCTACTTATTATATTTGCATGAAAATACTAGTTTTAAATGTAACATATTATATTCTTCCATTTCATAACTGTCTATTGCTGTGAGCTAGCTACGTTTTATAAAAAATTATTGAAATCCCCGATTTTTCGGACCTCTGAAAACGAGCAGGTGATGATGTGACGTCAAAACCCTAATACTCTGAAACAAGACTATTCCAGACAGAGATGAATGATTTCTGACAGAGTGAATTAGCGCGAGATCACAGTTGAAAGAATTAATATATCAGTTGCCTCAGTCTCCGTCGGGTGTTTGGTATTTTTTTTCAACTATGGCGAGATGAGGTTTCTACGTTATAAGAGGGTCCATTTTGAGAAGGTACTATTATTTATGTCAAAAATAAATCATTCTAGTTAATTTTTCGATCCAATTATGTCGTCAATCATTATTTATGTATAAAAGGATCATAATAAACATGGTTTGAGTTAAAAGTTCTACTAAGGTGTACACGCCCATTCGCATTCTCTATGTGATGAAAATATCAATTCTTTCTCGGTTTATTCAACAGAAAACAACTACTTTCCTGGCTATAGAAAAAAAAAACGTCCAAATCGGACAAGCGTTAATTTCCTGGAGAAGTGCAAGTATTTTACATTCATCATTCATCCTAGATGGTTTCATCTATGCCTCCATTATTTTTCTGCGATACATTCCAAACTGCGTTACACACACTATTCAGAAGTTGTAGTGACTGAATTTTAATCACCATCGATTGCAACCTTGAGAATCGAAAATGATTGATAAAAAAAAAACATCATTTGGGCCCTTGGCATACAATCAAGCTGCTTTTATCTATCAAAATAATTATTACTAATGGTCCTATATAGACGACTCGCCAATGTCTTTATTTATCCAACAACCGCCAGACTGATTGATAATGAAACCGATTCCAAAACGTTTGCTATCGAAAATTTTCGCGAACATCGCGCAGCAGAAAACACAGATTCACCTCCAAAGTCCTAGGAAAGCTTTGCAGGAAGCAGAATCACTAGTCGGCTATTCATTTTGTCTCGGACAAAAATGGATGGAGAACGAAAATATCAAAATGATAGAAGTCCTAACGAAAAAATTGCTAGGAGCTGATGTGAGTTTTGAAGAAAATGTTAAGTAAGTTTTCGTCAATCGAATATGTCGTAGTATATACAGTCTGTCGTCTGTCCAAGATAAGGTTGAACAGCATGGGGTTCTCGGAAACGGTAGGAGATACGGAGTCGCTTAAATGGGGAAAAAGTTGCGCATTCGGAGGCTCATATCAAGAGCCTTCGAAAATTTTTAAAATTATTTTTAGTTTTTGAGTTATATCGAAAAAAGTGAATTTTTGGAATTTCTATTTTATTTTTTTCTCAGTTATTATTAGAGATACAGAAAAACTGAAAATACTTTTTCATAGCAACTTTTGATGTCGTTGAACATGGTGATACCGACTTTTTTATGCGACGTTTCGTATTCGTGGAACCATCATCAACTTTTTACACACTGTATACAGAACATTCCATTAAAAAAATGATCCAGACCCTCTAAATTTCTTTTGGTACGCTCTGTATATGTTGCAATGATTTCTAGATATGGACCAGATGTTGTCTCATTTACATTTAATTTTGAATCGAGTTTCTAGCTATTCGATGCACTAATAATGCCCCACCCTGTGTATGGTTTGCACTTGAAGTGTTCAAAATGGTGAATTTTCTACTTTTTAGCTCTAAACGAATTGAGATATTTGTCAGTTACCACATACCTAATTATCCTGTAGACATTTATTGATATTTTTAGGAAACTTCTTCTGAATGACTATCACGTTTTTCCATGGGGACTAATTATTTTGCTTATATCCAAGAGTGCCGGTTCAGCAAATCAACTTTCAGACACTGAAACGAATCAAGGTAAACAATAGCCATATTTCTCAAACTGATCCAATTGATTTTTAGAAGAAATAGCAATAAATAATAAATAATGTTCATCTTGAGTCAATTCTGATGTTCATATATCTTCATCTGAAGTTTGAGCTTCAAACTGAGCCTGAGATTTCAAAAATCGGTTGACGAGGAAAAAAGTTATCACTGCAAAACCAAAAAGTTGATTTTTTGAGATCACTCTGTAAATAAAAGAGATTAGTAGAAAATTCGAGAACTGCCCCAAGATAATGAGATCATCTACATGCCTCTACTGTCAAAGTTGAAAAGAAAGTGTTTCTTCATTTGGGATACTTTTGAAATTTCCGAAATTTTGCACAGTTTCGGGTAACACCCTGTTGCGATTTCATGTTCAAGTCATGACTTTTATAAAAAAGTCATCAAAGTCCGACTTTTTGAATTAAGTCAGCCTTTTTTGAATTAATTCATTTGAAAAAAAAAAAAAACAAATTTCATTTACCCAAAGCAAAATAAAAAAAAAGAAACAAAAAAACTATGTTTTTATTCCCTTCAGAAATCTTGTAGAATAACATCATAATATAACATGTCATTTTTTCAAAACAAAATTAAAAGTGATGTTAGAATACAAAATAATAGATACATAGATCCAGTATCATCCATAAGTTCATAACACATGGAGAAAAAGTTTATTAGTAGAATATCGAAACATTTTTTCTCGGGAATCTATTATGCATGTCTGACTACTTAAAAGTCTATTTTGACACATGTCACTTGATCACTGGTATGGCGGTAAATTCAAAAAATTACGATGGCAAAAAGTGAGGTTGGATGGGAAGATGAAGTTATTTAAAAAAAATAAAAATAGCTATTTTCAGTTTTCTCAAATAATGGCTGGAAACTCCATATGTGAGCATGAAATTGAATTCTATTCAACTTGTACATCATCAACATCACTACTGTCAGAAAAAAAAAGAGAATTGTAACAAAATTGAAGAATATTCGAAAAAATATAGCTATTTCCAATTCTCCTCCAATAATTGCTCGAAACTGAATGTGGAATAGCAACTTAATAAGAAATGTTTATGGATATTTTGTTATCTAACCCCACTTTTATTTATCACCATACCAATGATCACGTGACATGTGTCAAAATCGATTTTCAAGTTATCGGATATGCATAATGGATCGCCGAGAGAAAAAAATTCGATGCTGTGATAATAAACCTGTTCTCATATGTTATGGACTTTATGAATGATACTTGATACTGTATATCTGTTAGTAAAAATCTCTGTGATGCTTGAAATCACAAAGTCTTGCCAAAATACGATCGAATTTTTCAGTTTAAACTAGTTAAAATCAAAGATACTAATGCAATTTGTCTCATTTTCAAAAGTTTCAATGAATTCATGACTTTTTCGAAAAAAGTCAATGGAATTAATTCACGAATTAAATCACTGATTTAATTCATATGAATTAATTCATGCCAACCCTGATTTCAACTGGGGCAAAATTTTAGGGTGCGACGAAATCAGTGTTGCGTAGTTTAGATGAAATTGAGTAACACCCTGTATCATTCCAACAAACTGCTAAATTTTTCAGAAGTTCTCAATATTCAGAGATCGATGGCTGAAGTTGGAGATATGTTACGCTGCATGAAAATCCTCCACAACAACGTCCAGAATCTTTCCAAAAAGAATAAAGAAACCAACTTGAAGACCTTTAGCAATAACTTGTTCATTCTCATTGGAGATTTCATCTTCGCTCGAACCTATCAGGAATTCGCAACGTGGAAAAGAACTGACGCCATGGAAATTATTTGTTCGGGGATTAGAGATTTTTCGGATGTCGCTTTCATGGAACCAAAGGACAGGTAAAATCTTGATTTTAATGTGAAATTCATAAGTGAACCAAATGAATACGTTTTTATATGAATAGGTCGCGTGCACGATCACCGACTCTGGAGGTGAAATATTGAAACTTTTTTATTTGTTTATGGTTGGTTCATACATATAGAAATAACTCATATATAATTTATAATAATAATAATAAAGTACTTTATTGATCATATAATTATGTAAATGTAAACAAACATACAATAAAGTGGCCATCGACCTGAGTCCTTCAGCCAATATGGTCTTATTTAATTTATATTTAGTTTCATTCAATTTTATCGTAAGCGAGTTTGAGTAGTACATAGAAATGCATTTATTGGTACAACTGACGCTAATGCTCAATACACATCTTATTTTCAGTGTTAATTTTTTTACTTATTGTTATTCAATGTTGGTAACAGCGGATCACAACAAGCGCATGCTCACTTGCTCAGTTCAATTTAATTTATTGCAATGAAAAGTTGGCTATCTTATGCTGGGTTTATAGATTCAATTAAATTAACAATTAGGAATTAACAATTAACAATCAACAATTAATAATCATGAGGGTGTTTATACATATCTAATATTAATTAGGAATTAAATGTGGAATGTCTTTGGATTGAATATCAAAATGATGTTAAAAAGTGATTTTGGTCTCTACTATTCATGAATCCATGAAAAATATTCCAATTAAAGATCACCAAACTCCACTTGAACAATAAAAAAGGTCTGTCTCCAGAATTTCATAATTCTTAGTTGTTAAGTTGAAAGTTGGCCAACTTTAAAATTCTTAATTCTTGATTTAAATGACAGATGTAAATGTATAAACCCTCATAGATGTTTCCTCCCAGATAGCACACACTCGCCTAAGGTCATCCTCAATGTGTCGCCAAACGCCTGGAGAGGACGTTCTATTTTCTACAACCTAAGAACATAATCAGGCGTGAATTTAGCGCTGTAATTGTCCTAAATGAGTTCTTTCAGTGACAGCCTGAGGATGTAAAGAATTCCGTGCCTACGGACGTCTTCAGATGACATTCCATGAAATAACGTGTCATCGAAGACAAAAGGAAGAAAAAGAAGAACTAGAATCGAGGTTATGTCTCATGATAGTCATGATTTGTTCAAGATACATCATAATATATTAATGATTATATCAAAATTATTAGAGTATTCATTGAATACCTTCATCAAATTTCTATTTCACAAAATGATTGCGAGAAGAACTTATTGCACAGAATTAAAAGATAACAATAACAAAAGGACGGTGAGTAAATACTAAATAGAATCATTGATAGTACCGAACATGAAATATTGATACATTCATATACATTATTTATTGTTTCAGGAGGTTATTGAGAACACGAACTTGATGATATCATCATAGCAAACATGTTTTATTCCAAGATAGCTTTGTTTCTTCGGAATCTATAACATATTGTATGGAAGCTTGAACTTTCAGTATGAATTCAATAAAGGTAGGTAACTGAATCAAATCATTGATATAGTAGGTACTGGACATGAAATGTTAATAGGTTAATTATTTGTTTCAGATGGAGTTATTGAGAACACAAGATTGTTGATGTCATCAGAGCAGAGATGTTTCATTCCAAGATATTTTGGCTTCTTCGAAATCTATGTGGAATTGCGTATGCATGTTTGCACTTTCAGTATATTCAATAAAGGTAGGTACCTAAATCAAATCATTGATATAGTAGGGACTGGAACATGAGATATTAATAGGTACATTATTTGTTTCAGGAGGTTATTAATGACACAAAATGATGATATCATCAGAGCAGAGATATTTTATTCCAAGATATTTTGGCTTCTTTGGAAATTATGAAAGATTGTACATATGCAGACTTGAACTTTCAGTAGATTCAATAATGGTTGGTACCTATAACTACAAAAATCATATCATTGATAGTATAAGTACTGGGCATGAAATATTAACACATTGTTTGTTTCAGAAGGTTATGCAAAACACAAACCTGATGATGTTTTCATTCCAAATTAGTTTTGCTTCTTCAGAATCTATAAAATATTGCATGAAGGCTTCAACATCCAGTTGATTATTCTGCATCAGGAATGTCCAGAGTTCAGAAATCAAAAACAACATGGAGAAATATAACTATCAATAGGCAATAACTTCTAGTAGTGCTCAACAAGAAGCTGAAATACATTTCTTTGAAAAGGAAATTGAAATTTTTCAGAATAAGTTTTAAATAATAGAATGTAAGTTTTTCATTTGGTTTTTCATTTGAACCTATTATAAATAGAGGGAAATTTTGCAAATATCATGAGATCCATATTATTTTGAAGAAATTATCATTTGCATAATACAAGGTGAGTCAATAGTGTGTTATCCTTGTATATTAGCCAAACCATCAGATAAATAGAGAAAATTCAAGTACAACAGTGATAGGGTTTCATGAGAACTTTCACATTAAATTGTTTTCATATATATCTGTAGGGTGTTCGAATTCCAAGATATATTGACTGATGAGTATTGGATTCAGAGGAATATCCCACCAACTCCTTCGTAGCTATCTCAATGAGAGAAGTCAATTTGTCAAAATCGGAGACATTTTCAGTGAATCTCGAAGAGTTCAATATGGTGTACCCCAGGGGACAGTTCTGGGTCCAATCCTCTTCAACATCTACTTAAATGACCTTTTTACACTAGAAGTGGAAGGGGACATAATAAGCTTCGCAGATGACACAGTTGTTATTTATAAATCGGAAACATGGAACTCTCTAAAAGAAAAAGCTGAAAGAAATTTCAAAACTATAATTCAATGGTTTGAAAGTAAACTTCTGACTATTAATATGAGCAAAACATTTTACATAACTTTCACATCATATGCTAACAACTTACCAAGTTTCAAATCACTCCTCATAAAATATGAAAGCGTAAATCTCGCTATCTCACCAGTAAACAAAATAAAGTATCTTGGCATATATATAGACGCTCACTTGAAATGGGACGCACATATTGATTATTTGGTACGAAAATTGCGTAGTGTAACATACAGGATGAAATATATGACACCCTATCTAGATATAGCTCAGATGCGCATACTCTACTATACTTTGTTTGAAACCCACCTCTCCTATGGGATAGTTGCCTGGGGAGCAGCAAATGCCTCTCATATAAAAAATCTAGAACAAATACAGAAATTGACTTTGAAAATAATCACTAATAAAAAAAGGACTTACCCTACAGAGGCGCTATATAAAGAAACATCAATTCTGGACATACGACAACTGTACTTTTTCAAAACTGTTATAAGGCAACACAAAAATAAACATGAACTCAAAAAAATTGAACACCAATATGCAACTCGCCACAAAATAAATTCAACCTATGTACCAAAATCACAGAAGAACACTTTACAAAAGTGTTATAGTTATTTAGCTCCTCGGCTGTATAATATCATTCCAGCAGACATCAAAGCTATCGTTAGTAATAATTTATTCAAGAAGAAACTCAAAATTTGGATCCTGAATTTGCCCAGAGTACATATTCACCATTATGTCGATATGAAAAATACATATCACTACAGTACATAAATAGTCGTGTATAGATTAGATAGATGTAAACATACTCACATGTTACTGAACTGATGTATAACCAGCAGTTCAATACCTCCATGGTTTAATACTTCTCATTTTTCTGTTCGTTCAATTGATGTATATGTCTGATGCAAATACCTATTCCAATTTCGTTTGAAATATATGCTATTTGTATCCGTTTTTTCGATATTTTGCTAATTATCTCTAAGTGATTTCTGATATGATATATGAATATATATATGTATGTGTGTGTGTATGTGTATGTATGTATATATAGATCTTCGGGTGCTTCTCCTTCTCTCTTTTCTTATCTATCTTTTCATAATGAGCGAAACTTTACTTTTATAATATATTCATTGTAATGTTAAAATCAAATTGATATATTTGTTCTAAAATTTTGTTTTGTTACAACCCACGCACAGGTATATCCTTCTGTGGGAATTCTATATTTATTTATCGTTATCTAAAATTATTGTTATTGTAATTTTCGATTCGAATGGTGAATAAATATTATTATTATTATTATTATTATTATGATTGTTTTTTTTTTCAAATGGGACACCCTGTATACTATTGCATTTTTAGGTTCTTCCTGAAGAGCTGATTCCATCGATGTATCACACTTGGGGTCTAGCGGGAATGATTACAGAGATATAGGGTGTTCAAAAACAAGATTTTTCAATTTTAGGATTTTTTTTGTGGAAACTATTCAACATTGGTCAAAACGGCTCACATATCCTTATAAACTTTCGATTTACTATCTACTGACATTCAATCGGAACAAATAGAGGGTGGGTTAACATTCAGAATACTGATCAGCTTATTGTATCTGTTCCAAATAAATATCAGTAGATAGCTAATCAGAAGTTATGACAGGAACATGTGAGCCGATTTGACCATTAATGAATAGTTTCGACACAAAAAATCCTACATTTGAAGAATCTAAATTGTCAACACCCTATATCTCTGTAATAACTCCCACTAGACACCAAGTGTGATGCATTGATGGAATCAACTCTTCAGGAAAAACTCAAAAATGCAATAATATACAAGGTGTTCCATTGAAAAAAACCAATCATCAACCGATGTCTTGGAATTCGAACAACCTATAGATATGAAAACAACTTTAGGTGATTGTTCTTATGAAACCCTATTACTGTTGTACTTGAATTTTCATTATATATATCTGACGGATTGGCTAATATGGGAGGAGAACACACTATAGTGACTCATTCTGTATACGAATAATATTTTCCCATAAATCTTGAACCTCCTTGAAACATCATCAAAAACCGCCTCAAGTTGTTACCATGATGTCCTGAGGTTGTCTCAAAAGATTTTATAGGGATGTTGTGAGACGTTATTAGTATGTAGAGAATGGTAACAGGAGGACGTCTTGAGAATGTCCTCAGGCTCGCTCTCGACGTCCTGAGGACATGATTGTGAACGCCTCAGAAGGGCCTCAAAAGGAATTTGTGCTATCTGCGCTTGTATTCAACTTTTCAATTTCATAGTTGATAGTTTAATTCTTAGTTTAGTTGAATCTATAAACCCAGCATTATCAGTACTAAATTGAATATAAATTAAATGAAAGCAATAAATAAGATTCTATGAACGCTTACATGTAAGACTGATATTTCAACTATTACGTTAAATGTAAATTAAATATAAATTATTTCTATGAACTGACCATTCAAAGGAATCATAGGATTGAAATAGTTTTTTACAATATTTTGGTATAGGAATCGTGTTTTTTGCGCTATTCATCAATTCAAACTTGTCTTCTCATTGTGCTGTTGTACAAAACACAAGAAATGCAGCGAGAGACGAAGGAATATGATGTTTCAGGTAAATAGTAATCTCACATAGTTATCATTATGAAATTTTGTCATTTCTAATTAAAATTCCTTCTGCCACTTCTGCAATTGAAGCTAATACTTGCTGCTAATAGATTGAAGATGTCTACAACACAACATGATCATATTTCGTCAGCAGCATGTCAGACCAAGCCTTCCGTTTGATTGCACGAATCTAATTCTCTTGCTTTCTTTTAGAAATTCCACGAGTATTTCTATAAGCTCCTACTGCAGAAGGAATTCCGATGAGAAATCAGAGAAATCACCAAATTTCAAAATGAAAACTATATGTGAGTGACTATATAGTAGGTACTTCTTACTTTTAATCATAATGTACCAACCAGATTCCTTCGTCTCTTGCTGCATTTTTTGTGCATTGTACAACTGCACAATGTGATGGCATGCGCTAATTCATGAATAGCCGAAAAACACGATTCGATGCCAAAATAATTGTGAAAAACTATTTCAATCATTTGTAAACAAAAAAGAAAAGTGAGGTTGGGTTTCAATGTTTCATCTCCAGGGTCGGCCATCTGACAGCTCGTGAAAAAAATTAATAAAGATGAAGATCACCCTGTATAACTCCATATTGGACCTTATAATTTCATTATAGTAGGGGAGCTGGCTGCAAATTGCACTGTCCTGTGCGAAAATTTGCACTTGATTTCGCGATTTGATAACGAGACGAGGATTCATACCATCCAATTCCATATGAATGGTAGATCTCAGGAACCTATCTGTGCCATCCCTCAGTCTGAGCTAAATCCACAGCACAGCGATTGATTTGCTGCTATTATTCCGGACATATTTCAGTCAAGTGATAACGAGTTGAAACTATAATGGCAAATGAAAGGGGAAAATGTCCCCTTTGCGAATATCCAAACGTGCAGCGATTCAAAATGATCTAAGTTAGTGGCATAGCGTCAATATTTCCGTGAATATTTCGCCCTCATGTGATGATATTCGATGAACCACAGTGAAACTGGTGCTCACACTACAAGTATTCTAATCCACATGTGGAGTTTTATACTGGTCCATCGGATATCATCTTTAGAGGGGGGGGGGCAAATATTCTCTAATCTGAATATTCGAGATAATGTTGTCACTTCATTGTTCACGAAATTGTGTTAGATATTCAGAACAGAGTGGTACTTTGATAGACTATTTCACGTTCACGAAGCATAAAGAGCATTTATTATAAATGATTCATTCTGACAAGTACAGCCATAATTATTTTATGCCAAACTGACAGACTGCTTCGCTATTCATGGTTACATCGTTGAAAACATGAACGCTGATAGACCTTGTGATTGGTCAGATTATGTGATGAATGAAACAACCGACATAACTTGACACCATCGGTATAGATAGACGGCAATGTCAAGATTTGTACCAAATTTCAAATTAGTAGTGAAGAAAGTAACGGAATTTCGAAATTGAAATTTTCAGGATATTTCAATTCTTTCAATTCTCTATGTTGAGCAATAAAAAAGGGGCACTTTTTGGGTAAAAATAATAGCATACCTACCCAGGTAACACGGAACTCTCCGCGATATCTCTAAGTAGTTATCCTCAGGATCAAAATGCGAAATCCTCCTGCGAGGTGCCAAAGATCACTATATAGGCTGTCACCATTGGAAATACTCTCTGGAGTCGTCCGAAAGAAATCGCGGAGATCTCGCCTGAGACTTGAAATATTTCTCATTATAGCCAATCCTTGAGGTTATCTATATACCAGGAAATGAATAGGCATTTCTTTCTGCGAGCACCCAAGGATATCCTGGACGTAACAAGAACGAGCATTTCCCATTTCGAGCTCCTAAAGTATTCACGAACATAACCTGAATAATTAATGAATATTTCACTACAAAAATATTGAATTGTTTGTCCATTTGCCTTAATAATTCTCAGTCAAAATAAATATTCATTCGACCTTCAAATACCGAGTGTCCCAATAAGTTATCGTATACAGGCAATATCTCGCCTATTTATCAGGATATTGAAAACTTTAAAAAACTGCATTGAATGACATATTATATGACTTATGAAGATATGATATATGATGATGGCAGCCCCCTGATGGTAAATAATAGTCAGTTTTTTTTTTCAAAGTGCATATTGTCTTAGAAAATTGCGTGTCAATCTATTTGGAATACAATAATGAAGCACATATACTTGGTGTTTTGTTCATTGATAACAAAAAAAAAACATGAACATTTTGTGACTTTTTTAAGTTGCTCGAATAAAAAATTGCTTTCACCTATGTGTCCAAAAAGTTAACAGACAATAAGTATGGATTGAATTCTTGTTAAAAAAAATTAATGACAGATAGGAATACAAATGTCAATCAAACGACGTTCATCAATTTTGGTTCCAGTCATAACAGGTTTATCCCAGCAAAACCCGACGACCCTCCTAGAGACATTGCGATGACAGTACCAGATCTGAGCGACATCGAAGTAATCGCCAACCTGTCAGACTCTTTCGGAAACGCGAAGAACGAATGGATCATGAGGCATCTGCTAGGTGGCACTATTATGCTGTCAAAATGTTGCCAGGTGAATAAAACACGAAATCCAGTGTTGCTAACACAAAATTTCCGTGTTGCTAATACAAAATATCTGTGTCTAAGACGACTAACATTTTCGGAGTTTGGGTTTGAGAGGAAGCTATCCTCAATTTCAAAGGTTTCTAGAACGTTTTTGGCTATAAAATTGAAGTATTCATGATGAAAATAGATACTATTTTATTTTAATTGACTCGACCGTTACTTGATGCATCTTGATAGAAATCCATAGCAAATGTAAAAACTTCACAAACGTTTAGATTTCCACAAAATTCTTAGTCATACGCCAAGATAGGTTGAAAATCATTTCGGATTCAAAATCAGGATGTTCCTTTCGCTTCCTCCTGCAAATTTCAGAACCCTACCTCAATAATTACGTGAGATACGGGGGTGCTTCCATGAGAAGTGAGACAAAATTCGATTTTTCTGAACTGAGAATTTTCCAGAAAAAATATGAATAGTCAGTGAATTGGACGTCCTGATTTCGAATCCGAAGTGATTTTCAACCTATCTTGGCTCCTAATAACATTTTCCGGAAATTTGGGTGGTTCCATGGCGGTTGGCGAGCAGTGTATATCACTGGAGACGACTCCACTTGGTCATAGTGTGTATTTTCCTATTTTATTTTTTCAATCCAAAACCGTTTGTCTAACGAAAAAGAGTCAAGAGGTTATTTTTGTTAGCAACTAATGAGAGATTACAAAACTGGTTTTCATTTTGATAAAAACAGTGGCGTGCCATTTTTAAATGTAATAAAATTATATTTTAATCAACTGTTCAAAAAAAGGTAGATGGTGAATTATTTTCATTAAATTATAGACAAATTTATCCTCTTTTAAAACAGAAAAATTAATATACCATTACATTTGTTTATTTTTTTGAAATAAACTCAAGAATTTGCTAACATTTCAGTTAACGCCATCTAGCGGCGACAGCAAAAGTCAAAAATTCAAAACCAAATAAGCGTTTTGTGGGGCAAATTATGTTCTTCCATATGAGCCTAAGTTTGCTAAAATCGGTCGAAATAAACGGGAGAAATCTTGGTTTGTTTAAAAAAACAATTGAACTTCCCCCACCGCTTTATTTTGATAGATAGAACAAAACGTTCTAGACAAAAATGTAGGGAAATGGCCATTCAATATGAAAATGATATCATCGATATACTTTCATCAAACAAAATTCTATAAATCCCATTTTTCTACTTGGTGTTGGTTGTTACGCCCTCTAGCGGACGTTTGATAAACTCGAAAATAATTTTCAGCAATTTCTCTTAGCGACTTTCATCATGATTTTTTTTTCTCAAATCTATACGACCAATATCTTATGAGGTATGGCCCAGGGCCTACTCTATCTCACCGGGCCGTAGTCTATCCCCTCTATCTCGACGCTGACGTCACACTAGTAGGTCGAGATTTCACATCAGTCCGTTCTGGTGCGTTCGTAATTGATATGCTATAGCTCATTTACTATAAATTTTAGAAGCACACTCAATCGAGACGAAATGATCCCCAACAAATTCCTCAACTTTTAGTGAAAAAATGAATCAAAAAGGATGAATCACTACCGAGTTATGGCTTTGTAACGAAATTCCATTTTATTGAAAATCAGGACGTTGTACTACAGAATACTATTTTTTGCAAATTTGGAATTGGAATAAGATTAAACTAACTCGATAAATCAAACTACGATAATGAATCAATTGAATAGTGAAAAAATTGTAGAGTTACCTACAATGAGTCCGAAAGAAATTAAATATAAAGAGCGCGTAAAAAATGGTCCGTTATACCTATCTACCCAAACGCTGTATTACGATTTCGCGGTAATTCCTTGGACTGGTAAAGGGCGATATACTTTTTATTACTCATTATATTTCTAAATGGCGTATGGTTCAGACCTACTGATATTGGTGTCTGAAAAATTCGAAACAATATTTTTACAATGTAAGTCACAACATAAAGTTTTGGAGAATTTAGCAGAAATGGGGAAGACCACTAAGAGAAGAAATCCGTGCAAACCTCTTCCAATCGACGAATCATGATTTACGTTTGATGTACAATCAATATTATGAGTTAAAGTTGAAGGGAATCGAATCTATATCGTTTTGAAATCAGCATATTTCATTCGATATTTCAAACAGCCAGATATGATGATGGAGTCGTGACGTATTAGTCCCGAACTGTAGCTATCTCTCTCTGATACATCGTCATTCTGCAGTGTTGCAGCGTGATTGGTCAGTTCAAGGACAATAGGCGTGTTGGGAATAAGACGTCGCACCAGTCACATCAATGAATTGACAATATTTCAAATGGCGCAGGAATTGTGTGTTTTGAAATGGACATATTCTAATTTATTTTTTCCATCGTCATAGCATGAATGAAAAAATTCAAAATTAATTCGCTGGTAGTTTTTCAGTATAGAGTTCACGATAATGTCATTTTAAAAAATCAGTGGTCTCCCCCATTGAAATCAGTTCCCTTCTCAATTATTCCGAGAATCAATGTTGCAGTTGTGGGTCTTTTGATGGAATCAGCAGAACATTCTCTAAAACCATTTCAAATATCTGTTGTATCTGTATGTTGAACAATTATTGCAAAATAAAAAAAAAAATTAAAAAGAAAAATCACTAAACTTTCAGGATGAGATATAGTTCAGATTCCAATTTTTAATTTGTGATTAAGATGATGTATATATATTTTTTGTTATTAGTGTATTTCATTTTGTGATATCTATCAATTTTTTTTATTTTGTTATGGTGATCATTTTTACTGTTTATTTTGTTTGGTTTTGTTTGTGTATAAGGATTCAACGTTTTTTTTTTCATTTTTTTCCATATTCATTCATATATCGTTGTTCTGGGTATTTTGTTATTCAGTTCGTTATATTCATTTTTATATCTCTCATTGTTGAGATACATATTTTTTCAATTATTTTTGTTATGTTGTGTTCATATGAACTCCACATATTTTGTTCTTTTTAATTTTGATAGTTTGCAAATATATTCAAATCAATTTTTTTTCATGAATTTGAAGTTATCATTCAAATATATTCACTTCAGCAGAAAATAATTGATACCGAATAGGCGTTTTTGTGTAATAACACACTCGAGTGATAGGATTTCTAACGTCATCAAAGTGCGTCCTGATCATCTTTAGAGATAAACGCTGCTAAAACCCTTCGAGATAAAGTGGATGTGTATTATACCGATTTGTAGGCAATCAAATTTCCTACAAAAAAGTCAGTGACAGCATATATCCATAGTTGATAGGATTAGCATGGGAGGCGTCCGAACTTTTTGAACTATTCTGTAATGAACACCTGAATCATCGTTCTACTTGAATTGAAATATCGATTTGTTGTTGGCCCTTGGGAATTTGAGAAAAAACTCAGTCAATCTAGATACTATGCGAAATCTTTTCATGATTGAATCATTTCTGTGAATTGAATATTGGAATTTTGGTAGCTGTTTGAAAAAGGACAATTCTGAATGGCGTCAACTATTTTTGATATGCCATATTTCTGAAATTAATGATCGTAAATCAGTGAAATTCGATTCATCTTCTGGAAAATTCTTTTCTGTACATATTTGACCTCTTGATATTTTTCGCTAACTGTGACCGTTTTCCCTAGGTAAATCAATGAAAGGGGAGAGACAATTTCCACTGCGTTGATTTTGTCCCTACTAGTGTGACGTCACGAAAGCGATGCTCCGGCCCGGTAAGATAGCCTGTATGGCCGCTCGCTACCCTTAACTGATCACCCTGTACAGTTCCTCATGACCCTGTATAGTATTATGTATGGATATTGTAGAAGTTTTCCAGGAAAATCAATTTTATGTCTTTCAGGCAGCTCTACTTGTCGGGAACCACCCGAAACCGCTTCAAACCGCGGGTCACCTTCTCGGAAGCAATTTGGCTCTAGCGCATCAAGCCAGCGTGGACTATTCAAAGTTCCTCAAGGACAATGACGATTCGTTCGATTTAGTTAGCGCTCCGCTGTTGTTCCATCTCCAAGACAATCCGAACTACTACGAGAAAGTACTAGAGATCACGAAAAGGCAAACGGTGGACTATGGGGAAATCAGGAGGAACGTCAGACTAGGAAGCGGATTGGAGAAAACTAGGGAATTGGTAGACGAATTACGAACCAATGCACTCGATGGTCTCCACATTTTTCCCGACAACGATGCCAAAATGGCGTTAAGAAATATCATTGTGAACCAAATTGCGACCGACTGAAATGAAATAATAAAAATCATAAGTGTCAATGAATACTAATCATCTTTGAGTACCTACAAAATCTCATGCAGAGCTATACAGGGTGTTTGCTAACTACGGTTCCTAACTGCAGGTGGTGATTCGTTAGGTCATTTTAAGAAAAAAAGTTCCTATTAACATATGTCCGAAGTTGCTTCGTTTCTGAAATACAGGGCGTTGAAATTAAAGAAAAAAAACGGCAATTATGAAATGAATGCAGAATTCATTCCAATGATCAAATTGCAACTATCATATTGAAATGTACTACAAACACTCTACTTAAAAATTACTGTTTCAAGTCTAACGATCAATTGGGTAAAAAATCCAACAACAAGAAATAGAAAACACTTACTGGCTAATTTTTTAGGTAATAGGAGTTCTCCAAGATAAATGTAGGTAATTATAACAAACGGCATGTCTATCAAAATAAAATACATTTTCCACAGTTTTCTTTCGATAAATCTCACGATAAGTTTATGTTCTACGGGCCCTGTATAAGTAGGTGTGAAGTTTACCTTCACCACAATTTTTGCCAATATATTTAATTCGAATGAGTTGCTGTAGGTGGGTATTTGTGTTTTATTCTGGTTTTTGCTTTGAAACTTCGTTTTTCCATAATAAAATCGAATGGGATGCGAAGAAGGGGTCAGTTGACGACTGGCATCCTTTTTAACCCGAAGCCCTTCAAAAAAACAGCAAAATCGGCTCAATAATGATCTAAAACTAAAATTGTAAGTGGGTTTTTGTGTTTTATTCTGGTTTTTGCTTTGAAACTTCGTTTTTCCAAAATAAAATGGAATGGGATGCGAAGAAGGGCTCAGTTGACGACTGGCATCCTTTTTTAACCGGAAGCCCTTCAAAAAAACAGCAAAATCGGCTCAATAATGATCTAAAACTAAAATTGTAAGTGGGTATTTGTGTTTTATTCTGGTTTTTGCTTTGAAACTTCGTTTTTCCATAATAAAATCGAATGGGATGCGAAGAAGGGCTCAGTTGACGACTGGCATCCTTTTTTAACCGGAAGCCCTTCAAAAAAACAGCAAAATCGGCTCAATAATGATCTAAAACTAAAATTGTAAGTGGGTATTTGTGTTTTATTCTGGTTTTTGCTTTGAAACTTCATTTTTCCAAAATAAAATGGAATGGGATGCGAAGAAGGGCTCAGTTGACGACTGGCATCCTTTTTTAACCGGAAGCCCTTCAAAACAACAGCAAAATCGGCTCAATAATGATCTAAAACTAAAATTGTAAGTGGGTATTTGTGTTTTATTCTGGTTTTTGCTTTGAAACTTCGTTTTTCTATAATAAAATCGAATGGGATGCGAAGAAGGGATCAGTTGACGACTGGCATCCTTTTCAGTACCGGAAGCCCTTCAAAAAAACAGCAAAATCGGCTCAATGATGATCTAAAACCAAAATTGTAAGTGGGTATTTGTGTTTTATTCTGGTTTTTGCTTTGAAACTTCGTTTTTCCATAATAAAATCGAATGGGATGCGAAGAAGGGGTCAATTGACGACTGGCATCCTTTTCTAACCGGAAGTCCTTCAAAAAAACATCAAAATCGGCTCAATAATGATCTAAAACTAAAATTGTAAGTGGGTATTTGTGTTTTATTCTGGTTTTTGCTTTGAAACTTCGTTTTTCCATAATAAAATCGAATGGGATGCGAAGAAGGGCTCAGTTGACGACTGGCATCCTGTTTTAACCGGAAGCCCTTCAAAAAAACAGCAAAATCGGCTCAATAATGATCTAAAACTAAAATTGAAATACGCGGTCGCCTTATAGCGCCATAAGCGCTTGTCGTTTCGAGCCGCTGGTTAGGCCTCACTAAGGTGACGTCACCACGGAGCATGCAGGCCTCATAGTCTCGATGGTAATGATCAGAATCGGGACATATACATTTTAAATAAGTAATTTTTTCGTGAAAATATTTCAGGTAATTCCAAAGTCCTCCTACTGCTTTTCAATTGTTCACTACAGCGATCTTGAAAATCGGAAGAGGGGGAGGGATGATTAATTCACAAAAAAGCAACTCCTCCAAAACAATCGGAATCACTAGGAGAATGTACTAGAGATTTACAAAAGTTCAAACAGTTGGACTACGGGAAAATCCGAAGAAAAATCAACAGGAACGTCAGACTAAGATTGGATAAAAGGAAATTGGTAGATGAAATTGCGGCCAATCCACTGGAGGGTCTGGAAACATTTTTCCGACAACGATGCCGAGATAGCCTTTAGAAATACCATGAAGGTGTTGTGAACCAGATAGGGACCGATAGAAATGAAATAATAAAATCACCTTTGAGTGCAACTTTAATTAAACATCACTTCCACAACAACGATTATAAAACTAGTATCATTTTGACCTATAATCTACAAGTCATCAAAAGATTTATCAATAAATATAACTAGAACTGAACAAATAACTCAAAATGTAACTGAACCAGACTCATCAAAAATTCAAAAGATATTCTCAATATCATTCAACAAACAATTGACTACCATACCCCAAGAAAATTTCATCTGAAGAATATCCCAAGCTACATTATTTATACAAACAAGAACTGTTGCCTCAAGAATAAAATATTCCTAAATCATCTACTTCATTGGAATAGAGGAATGCTTCATAATTGCCATTGTTATAAAAAATAGAAATTTGCCTATTCAACTAAATGCTGAATATTCAAAGAATTTCAAACCTTTAACCTGATAGTTTGAAATCAGCTTCATGATCTGTAGCATAAATAAGGTCAAATAGACCAGTAAAGCTTGACGTCATAGACAGAGATGCTACAATTTTGTCAAATATGTTTCCACTAATCCCTTCAATTTTTGAAGAAACTTTTATATGACAAAATTCTTGAAAAATCCTAGTCACTTTTTGTTTTCATTTGATGTGAGTCTCTCATTGTTTGAACATTCTTGTCCAACAATCCCACGATTTTTTAAAGAGCTCAATGTGTTTTTTATCTAAGGCTGTTAGTAAGTCTTCACATGACGTCACAGCTTTCTCCGTCCATTTATATAGGTTATGATTCAGTCAGTGTGGTGACCAACTGAAATTTCCAGAAATATACAAAACTGCACCTAAATATACCTAGCTAACAAAATTCTATGCAGAAGAACACAGTAAGAACGGAATTTTTGAAACTTTTATTGATACAACTTTGAATTAAAGAATGCACTTTCAACGATTCTTCAAAGGCAACAAGTTTACCTGGAGATAAAATGTTATCTGAGGCAATTAAGCATTTGTTTCGAAGCCAAAGGCAGGTTTAAATTGCAATGCTTTATTGTAAGTTGAATAGGTGTTTTTATTAGTGACCATTAAAATAATTTCCAATAAACTGTTAACTAAGCCTAAAATATATTATTTCCTCAATGTATACCTGTTTGGAGAAATCTAACTAACATAAAGCACATCATCATCACAAAGAAAATTAGACGGACATCCCACGTTTCTCCCAAGCCACGCCTCTCATTAGCCTCATTCCTCCCTGCCCATCGTCAACAAATTCATCGCCTTCTGCAGATAATCCACCGCGTTCTTCACGTCGTCGTAGTTCAGCGCCGACGTCGCATACTTGCTGAACTTCTGCGCCTTCTGGATGTGCTCGGGAGTGGGAGCGAACTGGCCGGCCGCATGCGCAACAGGTGGCTGAATAGGCGTGGTCGCAACAGGTGGCTGAATAGGCGTGGTCACCACAGGTGGCTGGATAGGCGTGGTCGACGCGGGCGGGGGTTGGTCGTCGAAGGCGGGGAAAGAGGGCGGGTCGAGGGGCACGAGGGGCGTGATCGGGGAGGAGGCGGGGGCGTGAAAGAAGTCAGCGGGGTCGTCGGTGGGCGGTTTTTGCGGTGGGTTGAAGGGGATGACGAAGTCGGGAGGGGGTGTGACGGGGTTGGGCGGCTTTTTCAATTCTAGAGGAGAGAAACGCATGATTTGGAAACTGTGGTCGAATGAAGACTGGAAGTTACTCCCAGGGTACTATTGAAGGAGATGTCGCTGTATTTAATTTCGGTATTTCAATGACTGGACAGCCCTTTTCAGCAGATTGAAAATATACCCAGATAGTGAGGTTGAGTGACAATTCACATTCAATATACCGGGTGGCACGTTATAAAGTACCACCTCTTTTAACTCTTTCATTTTTGATGTAAGAATAAAAATGAAAAACAGCCTTACAGGAGTTTTTTTTGTTCATATAAGATGTTCTATTCAAAATTCATACAGTTTTTGATGCTCCCTGAATATTTTTTCTGATAGTGAAAACGCATCTTTTGTTTCAAGTGGTAAAAAAAGAATCCCTGTGAAAAAGTTACTGAAAGTTACTCCCAGAGTACTATTGAAGGAGATGTCTCTGTATTTAATTTTGGTATTTCAATGACTGGACAGCCCTTTTCAGCAGATTGAAAATATACCCAAATAGTGAGGTTGAGTGACAATTCACATTCAATATACCGGGTGGCACGTTATAAAGTACCACCTCTTTTACCTCTTTCATTTTTGACAGTAGAATAAAAATGAAACACAGCCTCACAGGAGTTTTATTTTTCATATACAATGTTCTATTCAAAATTCATACAGTTTTTGATGCTCCGTGAATATTTTTTCTGATACTGAAAACACATCTTTTGTTTCAAGAGGTAAAAAAGAACCCCTGTGAAACAGTTTTTTTTCTCTGATGTCAGAAATGAAAAAGTATAGGGGGTGATACTTTATATCATGTCACCTGGTACAGTGTGATTTATTTAAGGCAAAGGACCCTTCTAAAATTTCATTGAGAAATTCTAAAAAGAACTGAGAAAATACTCATGTCCTTGATTCTTTTATTTCATCCTAAATCAATTCAAGAACTTATATTCAACAGTCTCTAGAAGGAACAACATCATATGTACTATGTAAATGGTTTTAAAACAATGATCTGATTACTTATCTGATTCTTTTTTTTAGTTGCTCTTTCATAATTTTCCCTGCTATAAACATATATGTTTCTTGTGAATAATAAAGATTATTATTGTTATTTCAGCAGAAAGACCATCAGAAAGTTTGTGTATCAAATATTTGTTCACAGGTCAGAAATGGCTGAATTTAATTTGCCATTTTTTTCACTACTGGTTTTAGAACTCATTTTAGAAGCTCAGCCAGAAGAAATATGTATTTGCCTTCTGTCATTGTCCTCAAGGATTCAACATAATAGCAAATTTCATTGAAAGTCACTGGTGGAGTGTTTTTCCACTCAATGTATATGTTTCCTTCTTACTCAAATATACACTTAGTGAAGAAACACACCATCAGTTCCTGCCAATGAAATTGACAAATAGAATGAAGAAAATGTGATGTAGGTAGTACAATAAATGAGATGAAATCCTCCATAGGTAGGTATACTTTTTGCTTGCCAAGTACCCATGTCATTATAATATTGGAATTGGTGGGAAGTATACCAAAGTCTTGCCAGAAGTTCAATGATTCAACAAATTTTTTTTTCAAGTACCTACCCTACCAACTATTCCAAGTGAAAGAATATGTTGGCAAACATTTGAAACTGCAAATTTCAAGTGAATACCACTTAGAACCATCTTGAAATGACACCAATTCATGATGTGTTAAAAATGTTGAAATTTATGACTCACCTTCAAAATTGATAGGCCCAGTATATTTGGTATAAGAAGCCAGCTCTTCCTCTGACAACTGACTGTTATGTACAATACCACTACCTACATTGTAGGGTTTTGGAGGTCCAGACAATGGTACCTCACCAGCTTTCAAACAGTTGTGGATATAGGCAGCCTTCCACTTAGCATACTTGCGCTTCTCTCTGATGTCATCAGGGAGAGCTCCAAACTGATCCAAAACATCCATCAACATGCCAGCTGTGTAGAAAGTCTTGACAGTGTTCCTAAAAATGATATCAAAACTAGGAGTCATCTGCTCCTAGAACTTTTATTTATGACATACTTATTGAAAATTTCTGCTTGGTCTTGTTGATCAGCATACTGAAACAATTTCAGGGCATAATCTTCAATCAGGGCTTGAGCTGTCGTTTCGCTACTGAGGCCATCATTATCTGCATTGATTTTCTTGGTTTTCTCTAGCCAGTCCAAGAGAGCTCTAATCAGTTCAGCAGTTTCTGGGGTCTTCTTACCGGGCACCAATTTCAGAGCGAGCAAACAAGCCGACATGCGAGCTGCAAGAGAAGGGAAATTGAAAAATGCTCAAGAGTTATCGAGAAAATAAAAGGCGTATTACCCCAGTAGGCAACAACAACATTACGCTCGTCATGTTCTTCAGCCAATTTCAAAAGATGAGCTAGCGGCTTCACTTCTGCCGGGACAGGAGGAAATTTCACCATTTTTCTACGGGAGCTTTCAAACTGATACTGATGCTGATTACTATTCCACAATATTTTCTTGTTTATTATAAAAAATAATTTATATATTGCGAAAATGATCCTTTCGGCAAAACAACAAACAACAGAACAAAAACAATGAAACCAATGAACATGTCAGTGTCACTGTCACATCACCACTTGCACTGGCCACCCGTCGTCAGACAGTCTAGATATTTAGCCGTCATTGCACTGCACTGGCACTGCACTGTAACGCGCTGCAATACTGCAATGACTTCCCAAGTGGAAAATACCATTAGTTCAGATATTTTTGTTCGATAAGGGTTGAGGGGATTGTTTCTATGGTCAAGTAGTCTCTCATCGCAGCAGTTTTTTATATAATACCATCAAAATATTTTTTTTGCATTCTGAGTCTTGATAATGAAATATGTCCGCCACTGGATCTTCGGCAATGTTCGGAGATTTTGACTGCTATCTTTGGCTGCCATTTTCACACAGCTCAGTTCAGTCAGTGGTGGAACATTTCCAACATGAAGGGTGTCATAAATTTAAGTAAAATAAACATAAAGTTACTACACATTCAATTGAGGACAACCTCATCGCATAGAAATTTCACTCATTTATATTCAAAAGGAGGATTATTAAATCATAACGCACTCATAGTAAATCAAAACAAGAGGGTAAGTTTTTACGTAATTTTCTAGGTTATGGTACCAAAGTTTATTCCTGTCAAAGACAATCTCCAGCCTATATTTTAGTCCACTGCTACCACCAAGGAACCCCATCGCGAAAAATCTAAACCAGGTGGTGGTATTTTAGCCCTAGCCCTCAAAAGGATACCCAGCAGTGCACCAAAACCCCAACCAGCAAGGGGATGCTTCCATCCTGGGTCCTCTGTCCTCTCACGAGAAGACGTGCCTTTGAAAAGCAGGGCCCCACTGACTGGCACAGAGATGATACAAGCCATGATGCAGTATATATGGCCGGAACATGATAAATCCATAAGGGATAGGGTTAAACTGGCTCTGTCCCTGTTAGTTGCAGCAAAAGTGATGAATGTATGTGTTCCCTTTGTGTTCAAGTACTCAGTGGATTACCTGAATGCTGGTGCAACTTTGAATATGGATTCAGCCCCAGAAACTGTTGCTACAATTGCTACCAGTCTACTACTTGGATGTAAGTGTTCAATTATTGTTATTTAACTTTTTCCTTTCTAATGAAGAAATGGAGATTTCAAACTAATAATTCAAAAATTGTTCACAGCTTCAACTAAGAGAGAGTATATTTTTTTGCATCAATTCATTCAATCTGAAATAGGAACTTCATATTCCAGAGATAATACTCTCTCATATATCTAATAATTATATTAACCTCACAATTTGCTTACTGGTAAATAGAGTAGTTGATTTTAAAATATAAACATTGTATTCTCAAGTGAGGTCTATTTAGGTCTTGATTTGATTGATTGATTGATTGATTGTCTTTATTACCCCAAGAAACATAGTTGTTTATAATAGGGATACATAAACAATATACATAATGTTATACATACAATTATGAAATTATAATAACATATAACAAGTAAAAAAACAAAAATGCAAATAATCATGCAATATCAACCTAGTCTTAGGTAGGAATTATACATACAGGGACTCTAGTCTTAGGTAGGTATTCAAATAAGAGAGAAATAAATACTCTTCAATTATCTGGTAGAAATGAAATTTCATATTTTGAATGAAATGCCTGTAATAGGATTATGTTTGTTTCTCAAATGATCTATATGTTTATTCCACAATAGTCGTTCATCAATATAAAGACCTAAAAATTTTGGAACATCTGTATATTTGATGAGTTTATTGTTGAAGGATAGTGTTCTATTTGAAATGTTCAATGATCTTTTTTCTATGTACATATATGAGGATTTGTTATAATTGAGAGATAGTTTATGAACTTGTAACCAAGAGGATATTTTCTCTAAATCACTTTTCATGTCCATGATAATATTATTTGAATCTTTAGAGAAATAAATCAATGTCGTGTCATCTGCAAATAATTTAAGTTTTCCTCTCAATTCCAAGCTTGATATTGAATTTATGTAGATTAAAAATAAAACTGGTCCCAAGACTGACCCTTGCGGTACACCACATGAGATGTTCATTAAGGAGCTACAAGTACCACTCACTTCAACATATTGTTTTCTACTTGATAGATGATTGTTTAACCAATCATGAATTCTTCCTCTGGTCTAAGTTGAGTGGTGTGTATAAATTCAACATGGAAATAAAGTATGTGATAGTGGATCTCATATACGATAAAGATTTAGAAAAATTGTAGACATTTTATTTCACCTACTTATACCACCCTTCATCCTTCCTTACATCAGCTGATGCTATATTAACAGAATTACCATGGTCAACTATTATCTTAATAATGATGGTATTTCCAACTTTTATTTATATATCTTCAAAAATGAAAGAGTTAGGAGAAAATTGCCCCCTTATGGATATAATAATCCTACATAAAAAAATATTCCACTAATGGAATAAATGAAAAATACTCATGAGTTGATACATTCTACTACATTACACTTCATTATAAGAAATTATTCATTCCTTAAAATTCTTTTTGTTTGTTGCTGTTGTGACTTTCACTTCCTCTTTAGACTCATACAAAATTTCAAATGTGGTTAATTATTGTGTTCATCACACATATTAAATTGTTGAGTTACTTTCTGCATACACTGTATATAAAATATGTACTTATATTACTCATTGTTTTTGTAGATGGTATTGCTAGGGCAAGTGCAGCAGGTTTCAATGAATTGAGAAATGCAGTTTTTGCTAAAGTTGCCCAAAATTCAATCAGAAAAATTGCCAAAAATGTGTTCATTCACTTACACAACCTAGATTTAGGATTTCATTTACAAAGGCAAACAGGTGAGACTCTTTCTCTAATGTAGGTACTCACTGAATGAATTTTAGATTTACTTTTAGTCATAAATGTGGACATGATAAAATAACAGTCCAGTCAAGAAATGACAAAATGAGTTTGGTGAGTGCTTAATTTAATGTTTTCAATTTTTGGATTTGTTCACTGTTCTCATAAAAGAATCTCCAAACATTTTTCATTTTTTAATTTCCAGGGGCTCTCTCCAAAACCATTGACAGGGGATCAAGAGGAATAAATTTTGTTCTGTCTGCCATGGTTTTCAATGTTGTTCCTACAATTTTTGAGCTAGCTCTTGTATCTTCCATTCTGGGTATAAAATGTGGTGCAGCTTTTGCAGGTTGATACAGCAGTGTCAATAAAAAAATGTATGTCAATAAAAAAAATATCTTTCCAGGAATATCTATGGGTTGTGTTGGAGTATACAGTATTTACACATTGAGTGTAACACAGTGGAGGACAAAATTCAGGATCTACATGAACAAAGCTGAAAATGAAGCTGGAAACAAAGCAATAGATTCACTTATTAATTATGAAACAGTCAAGGTAATCAATGATCCTTTTCAAATGTCATTATATTTTATATGGCATTATTTTTAGTATTTCAATAATGAGAAATTTGAAGCAGATAGATATGATAGTGCTTTGCAAAAATATGAATCTGCTAGCTTGAAAACAAGCACCAGCTTGGCAATGTTGAATTTTGGACAAAATGCCATTTTTAGTGCAGCTCTGAGTGGAATAATGATTCTGGCTGCTAATGAAATTGTGAAAGGTACCTGTACTCAACTTTTTGAATAAGATAACATTTCAGAAAATCAAAAGTTAAGTCATCTTCAGCCTCTATTACCTCCTACACTATGAGGCAACCAAGGAGGCAATCATATAAAATGTATAAAAATTCTTGATTGATTCTTGATTGGAATAGGATGAAGATAAACTCCATTTTGATCCAACATTCTCCTAATTTAATCAATCAAATTGAAATATCATGGAAATGATTTTGGGCTCACTTTTATTATTTGATTGTGTTCTACTACTCCATTTTGAGACACTATGAACTTTTACAGATAACTATTAAGATTCCTCAGTGGTGATATTAATGCTTCACAATGTTCAGAATAAAATGAAATTGAGATCAATTTTATTTATTGATATATGAGATCACAATTAACACTGATTACAGCAGCAGAAACCACTAAAGAATAACCAGAAGTATAAAAAGTAAAAATTGCTAAGAAACACACTATATTGATTCAGAAGTACCCTTCCGAAATTCCGAGGGGTAAATCACTGCGAAAAAAATTGTACATCAAACTTCCCATGGGTCAAAACTTCCCAAACTTCCCCGAACTTCCTCAAACTTCCCCGAACTTCCTCAAACTTCCCCGAATTTCCTCAAACTTCCCCGAACTACCCAAACTTCCTCGAACTTCCCAAACTTCCTCGAACTTACTCAAACTTTCCCGAACTTCCATAACTTCCTCAACTTTCTAGACGTTCCCAAACTTCATCAAACTTCCTAAACTTCTCAAAACGTTTAAAACTCCACAAACCATGTATAAGCAATTCAATATTTATCGATTCAAAATTTGTTCCTTTCCCTATGGTAGGTATCTCGGTAGGTATACAGGGTAGGCCACCAGTAACGCCTCGGTCTCTAGAAGGCTAACCACTTATCTTCTTGGAATTCTTCCTCTCTAGGAAGTTGCATGTCAACATAGGCTACCATTTGAAATTATTTTGAAACCTACAGGATGTCCCCAAAAATCACAAAACACTGAAGTTGAACTTTTTTCAATCGAACACCCTATATATTATTTCATTTTGAGATTCTCCCTGGTGAGCTAATTTCAACAATCCATCATACTTGGGGTCTAGCAGTTATAATTACTGAGATATAGGGTGTGAGAAATCGAGATTTTCCAAGTTCAAGAATTTTTTGTGTCTAAACCATTCATAATTGGTCAAAACGGCTCACATGTCCCTATCTCAACTTTTGATGAACTATCTACTGACATTTAATTGAAACAAATACTGGGTGGTGCAGAATTCAGAATCTTGATCACCCGGTATATGTCCCAATTAAATATCAGTAGATAGTTAATCAAAAGTTGAGATAGGGACATGTAAGCCGTTTTGACCAATTATGAATTGTTTCGACACAAAAAATTGTTGAACTTGGAAAATCTCGATTTTTCACACCCTATATTTCAGTAATTATAACTGCTAGACCCCAAGTATGATGGATTGTTGAAATCAGCTCATCAGGGAGAATCTCAAAATGAAATAATATATAGGGTGTTCGATAGAAAAAAGTTTAACTTCAGTGTTTTATGGTTTTTGGGGACACCCTGTATGTTTCGAAATAATTTCAAATGGTTGCCTATGTTGACATGCAACTTCCTAGAGAGGAAGAATTCCAAGAAGATAAGTGGTTAGCCTTCTAGAGACCGAGACGTTACTGGTGGCCCACCCTCTATACAGGGTAGACCGGTTTGTAATAAAAAAAAATCAGCAGTGTGTTGTACTCGTTGGGGTAATGAAATACTCTTGAACGCGTCGTTTTCTTCATATAGGGTGTTGAAAATACGAGTCTGAACGAGTCAGAATATTGTTTTTTGATGAAAAGTTCGAAACGGTCTGAGATAAATCAACAAAATTTCTAACAGATACTAAACTTTTTACGCTCTATAAGATGGAATGGAAATTATTTCATAAAGTAATTCAATGGCGGCTGAATCTGGGGGTGGTGAAGGAAAAAAAATCACCCTATTTTTTTTTGTGCATTCAATTTTTCATTTTCGAGTACAAAATGTGAGAACAGATAGATTTCTGCGTATAATAGATCTGTTGTATTTTCTCAATGCGTTACAACGCTTTCGAATTGAACCGGATTAACAATATGAGAAATCAGATTTTGAAATACAAATTGAAGAAGAAATGCACAAATAAAAATTGGGGTGATTTTTTCCTTCACCACCCCCAGATTCAGCCGCCACTGAATTACATTATGAAATAATCTTTATTTCATCTTATTGAGCGTAAAAAGTTTTTTATCTGTGGGATATTTTGTTGATTTATATCAAACCGTTTCGAACTATACATTAAAAAACTAAATTCAGACTCGTATTTTCAACACCCAATAAGTATTATTGACCAGGCTTCATCTGATTATTCAGTTGGCTTCATCCCAATTCCACATTACGTGGGTTATAATCAAGACCTGGAATGCCAAACAAAATATCGAATCATATGAATCAGAAATGATTATTATTGGATGCGGTTCATGGATGTTGAAATAGAAACTTACCAGAATATTTCTTGCAACGTTCGTAGTTGGATTGCAACAAATAAGTTTTGTTTTCGAATAGATTTTTTCTCAGTAGAGTTCATCCACATCTCCACATTACGTGGGTTATAATCAAGACCTGGAATGCCAAACACTGTGCTGCTCGGATCTAAAACTAAGTATCAATTTGAAATTAGAATCGTGAAACGAACATGGAAGAAGAGTCTGCATATTGTTTTCAACATTCGTAACTGGAATGCGATATATTTTCGTAATTTATTGAATAATCAACTATCTCAATGAATACAAGGAAGGCAGATAAGCAACTATTTTCACTGCGATGAAAAACACTGTATATACCTAACCCATCTAGCGTCTACCTCCTTTGCAGAGAGGGTTTATGAACGCAAAGTTGGTACTCTCCCCTCGTAAGGGTACCTGTCGTGTTTTCATAGAGACATAAAGGTGAATATCTGTCTATCTGTTTACTTGAGAATATGAAAAAAAATCAATATATCGCCTTCCGTACGAACATGGTGATCTGAATTTAGAGAAGTATACTCTGGTCATTTTTCTTTGTGGATCGTTTCTTAGGTTCGGCTTGACTGGATGGTTTCCTCGGATTTTGTGTCAAGTATCAGACACTGTACTTCTCGGATCTGCAACTTGACATCACATATCAAATATCGAATCATATGAATCAAAAAAGATTATTATTGGATGCGATTAATGGATGTTGAAATATAAACTTACTAGAATATTTCTTGCAACTTCCGTAGTTGGGTTGCAACATATAAGTTTTGTTTCCGAATAGAAGTTTTCTCAGTAGAGTTCATCCACATCTCCACATTACGTGGGTTATAATCAAGACCTGGAATGCCAAACACTGTGCTGCTCGGATCTAAAACTAAGTATCAATTTGAAATTCGAATTGTGAGTATATTGTTTTCAACATTCGTAACTGGAATGCGATATATTTTCGTAATTTATTGAATAATCAACTATCTCAATGAATACGAGGCAGGCAGATAAGCAACAATTTTCTCTGCGATGAAATACACTGTATATACCTAACCCATCTAGCGTCTACCTCCTTTGCAGAGAGGGTTTATGAACGCAAAGTTGGTACTCTCCCCTCGTAAGGGTACCTGTCGTGTTTCCATAGAGACATAAAGGTGAATATCTGTCTATCTGTTTGCTCGAGAATCTGAAAAAATAATCAATATATCGCCTTCCGTACGAACATGGTGATCTGAATTTAGAGAAGTATACTCTGGTCATTTTTCTTTATGGATCGTTTCTTAGGTTCGGCTTGACTGGATGGTTTCCTCGGATTTTGTGTCAAGTATCAGAAACTGTACTTCTCGGATCTGCAACTTAACATCACATATCAAATATCGAATCATATGAATCACAAAAGATTATTATTGGATGCGGTTCATGGATGTTGAAATAGAAACTTCAGAATATTTCTTGGAACGTTCGTAGTTGGATTGCAACATATAAGTTTTGTTCCCCAATAGAAGTTTAGTAGAGTTCATCCACATCTCCACATTACATGGGTTATAATCAACACCTGGAATGCCAAACACTGTGCTGCTCGGATCTAAAACTAAGTATCAATTTGAAATTCGAATCGTGAAACGAACATGGAAGAAGAGTCTGCATATTGTTTTCAACATTCGTAACTGGAATGCGATATATTTTCGTAATTTATTGAATAATCAACTATCTCAATGAATACGAGGCAGGCAGATAAGCAACTATTTTCTCTGCGATGAAAAACACTGTATATACCTAACCCATCTAGCGTCTACCTCCTTTGCAGAGAGGGTTTATGAACGCAAAGTTGGTACTCTCCCCTCGTAAGGGTACCTGTCGTGTTTCCATAGAGACATAAAGGTGAATATCTGTCTATCTGTTTGCTTGAGAATCTGAAAAAAAAATCAATATATCGCCTTCCGTACGAACATGGTGATCTGAATTTAGAGGAGTATACTCTGGTCATTTTTCTTTGTGGATCGTTTCTTATTTCGGCTTGACTGGATGGTTTCCGCGGATTTTGTGTCAAGTATCAGACACTGTACTTCTCGGATCTGCAACTTGACATCACATATCAAATATCGAATCATATGAATCAAAAAAGATTATTATTGGATGCGATTAATGGATGTTGAAATATAAACTTACTAGAATATTTCTTGCAACTTCCGTAGTTGGGTTGCAACATATAAGTTTTGTTTCCGAATAGAAGTTTTCTCAGTAGAGTTCATCCACATTACGTGGGTTATAATCAAGACCTGGAATGCCAAACACTGTGCTGCTCGGATCTAAAACTAAGTATCAATTTGAAATTCGAATTGTGAGTATATTGTTTTCAACATTCGTAACTGGAATGCGATATATTTTCGTAATTTATTGAATAATTAACTATCTCAATGAATACGAGGCAGGCAGATAAGCAACAATTTTCTCTGCGATGAAAAACACTGTATATACCTAACCCATCTAGCGTCTACCTCCTTTGCAGAGAGGGTTTATGAACGCAAAGTTGGTACTCTCCCCTCGTAAGGGTACCTGTCGTGTTTTCATAGAGACATAAAGGTGAATATCTGTCTATCTGTTTACTTGAGAATATGAAAAAAAATCAATATATCGCCTTCCGTACGAACATGGTGATCTGAATTTAGAGAAGTATACTCTGGTCATTTTTCTTTGTGGATCGTTTCTTAGGTTCGGCTTGACTGGATGGTTTCCTCGGATTTTGTGTCAAGTATCAGACACTGTACTTCTCGGATCTGCAACTTGACATCACATATCAAATATCGAATCATATGAATCAAAAAAGATTATTATTGGATGCGATTAATGGATGTTGAAATATAAACTTACTAGAATATTTCTTGCAACTTCCGTAGTTGGGTTGCAACATATAAGTTTTGTTTCCGAATAGAAGTTTTCTCAGTAGAGTTCATCCACATCTCCACATTACGTGGGTTATAATCAAGACCTGGAATGCCAAACACTGTGCTGCTCGGATCTAAAACTAAGTATCAATTTGAAATTCGAATTGTGAGTATATTGTTTTCAACATTCGTAACTGGAATGCGATATATTTTCGTAATTTATTGAATAATCAACTATCTCAATGAATACGAGGCAGGCAGATAAGCAACAATTTTCTCTGCGATGAAATACACTGTATATACCTAACCCATCTAGCGTCTACCTCCTTTGCAGAGAGGGTTTATGAACGCGAAGTTGGTACTCTCCCTTCGTAAGGGTACCTGTCGTGTTTTCATAGAGACATAAAGGTGAATATCTGTCTATCTGTTTGTTTGAGAATTTGAAAAAAAAATCAATATATCGCCTTCCGTACGAACATGGTGATCTGAATTTAAAGAAGTATACTCTGGTCATTTTTCTTCGTGGATAGTTTCTTAGGTTCGGCTTGACTGGATGGTTTCCTCGAATTTTGTGTCAAGTATCAGACACTGTACTTCTCGGATCTGCAACTTAACATCACATATCAAATATCGAATCATATGAATCAGAAATGATTATTATTGGATGCGGTTCATGGATGTTGAAATAGAAACTTACCAGAATATTTCTTGCAACGTTCGTAGTTGGATTGCAACATATAAGTTTTGTTTCCGAATAGAAATTTTCTCAGTAGAGTTCATCCACATCTCCACATTACGTGGGTTATAATCAAGACCTGGAATGCCAAACACTGTGCTGCTCGGATCTAAAACTAAGTATCAATTTGAAATTCGAATTGTGAGCATATTGTTTTCAACATTCGTAACTGGAATGCGATATATTTTCGTAATTTATTAATTAATCAACTATCTCAATGAATACGAGGCAGGCAGATAAGCAACAATGTTCTCTTCGATGAAAAACACTGTATATACCTAACCCATCTAGCGTCTACCTCCTTTGCAGAGGCTTTATGAACGCAAAGTTGGTACTCTCCCCTCGTAAGGGTACCTGTCGTGTTTCCATAGAGTCATGAAGGTGAATATCTGTCTATCTATTTGCTTGAGAATATGGAGAGAAAAAAAATCAATATATCGCCTTCCGTACGAACATGGTGATCTGAATTTAGAGAAGTATACTCTGGTCATTTTTCTTTGTGGATCGTTTCTTAGGTTCGGCTTGACTGGATGGTTTCCTCGGATTTTGTGTCAAGTATCAGACACTGTACTTCTCGGATCTGCAACTTAACATCACATATCAAATATCGAATCATATGAATCAAAAAAGATTATTATTGGATGCGGTTCATGGATGTTGAAATAGAAACTTACTAGAATATTTCTTGAAAAGTTTGTAGTTGGATTGCAACATATAAGTTTTGTTTCCGAATAGAAGTTTTCTCAGTAGAGTTCATCCACATCCCCACATTCGGTGGGTTATAATCAAGGCCTGGAATGCCAAACACTGTGCTGCTCGAATCTAAAACTAAGTATCAATTTGAAATTCGAATTGTGAGCATATTGTTTTCAACATTCGTAACTGGAATGCGATATATTTTCGTAATTTATTGATTAATCAACTATCTCAATGAATACGAGGCAGGCAGATAAGCAACAATGTTCTCTGAGATGAAAAACACTGTATATACCTAACCCATCTAGCGTCTACCTCCTTTGCAGAGAGGGTTTATGAACGCAAAGTTGGTACTCTCCCCTCGTAAGGGTACCTGTCGTGTTTCCATAGAGACAAAAAGGTGAATATCTGTCTATCTGTTTGCTTGAGAATCTGGAAAATAAATCAATATATCGCCTTCCGTAAGAACATGGTGATCTGAATTTAGAGAAGTATACTCTGGTCATTTTTCTTTATGGGTCGTTTCTTAGGTTCGGCTTGACTGGATGGTTTCCTCGGATTTTGTGTCAAGTATCAGACACTGTACTTCTCGGATCTGCAACCCAACATCACATATCAAATATCGAATCATATGAATCAAAAAAGATTATTATTGGATGCGGTTCATGGATGTTGAAATAGAAACTTACTAGAATATTTCTTGCAACGTTCATAGTTGGATTGCAAAATAAAAGTTTTGTTTCCGAATAGAAGTTTTCTCAGTAGAGTTCATCCACATCTCCACATTACGTGGGTTATAATCAAGACCTGGATGCCAAACACTGTGCTGCTCGGATCTAAAACTAAGTATCAATTTGAAATTCGAATTGTGAGCATATTGTTTTCAACATCCGTATATTCCCAGAAATATAAGAAGAAAAGAAGAAAACGAACTATATTGTCAACCCAACTTCCTAACGTACATATCGTCTGTCATCTTCATCTTCAAATCCTTGTTTCATCTAGCCAAGATGCGATTATTCAAAGATATTCCTCTTATTATCCGATTCGTCAGTTGTGTGTTGCGTTCTCTGTTATCTGCAGTAATTATTCATTCCAGAAAATTCACTACAGTCTAGGACGAACACCTTCTGAGGAGGCGTGTTTTTTTCATATTGTCATTAAAATGACAATCCTAAATATTCTTGCACTTGTCTTACATAAATAGAGAATAGATGTCGAATTTTTTCGGATGATTGGTACGTCACGCGTTTCCCCGCGTTTTTCATGTTACGAAATATCGCGAATTTCAATAATCATTTAAAAAATGTACAGGGTGGCCAACTAAGACTCCAGAGTTCGATTTCTCTGTTGTCTTGAGAGATACAAAAAAAATTCATGATTCAAAATTGAAGGAATAACCGAGCTTCACATTTCAAAATTTCTTTGAAATACACAGGGTGTTCCGTAAGGTCACAGCACATCAAAGCTATGTTTTTTTCATTGGAACACCCTATATTTCATTTCATTTTTGAATTCTCCTTGTAGATCTGATTTCAACGACCCATCATACTTAGGGTCTAGCAGTGAAAGTTACTGACATGTAAGGTGTGCAAAATCGAGATTTTCCAAGTTCAGAATTTTTTTCTGTCGAAACTGTTCATTATTCGTCAAAACGGTTTACATGTCCTTATCTCAGCTTCTCACTCACTATCAATTGGTGTTCAATTGAAATTGATACAAGGTGGTCAAAAATCTAAATTTATAATTTGTTTCAATTAAATGTCAACTGAACACCAATTGATAGTGAGTGAAAAGTTGAGATAGGGACAAGTAAACCGTTTTGACGAATAATGAACAGTTTCGACAAAAAAAAATCCTGAACTTGGAAAATCTCGATTTTGCTCACCCTATATGTCAGTAACTTTCACTGCTAGACCCTAAGTATGATACATCGTTGAAATCAGATCTTCAGGGAGAATTCAAAAATGATATGAAATATAGGGTGTTCCAATGAAAAAAACATAGCTTTGATGTGCTGTGACCTTACGGAACACCCTGTGTATTTCAAAGAAATTTTGAAATGTGAAGCTCGGCTATAACATCAATTTGAATGCAAACCTTTTTTTTGTATCTCTCAAGACAACAGAGGTATCGAACTCTGGATTCTTAGTTGGCCACCCTGTACAGAGCTCTAGGGAAAAAACGGTTTGCAACAGTGAACTAGTTAGGGTTAGTGCTTCAAAATAATGAAATACAATTTTTCACTGAAACAGGTCCATTCTTCTACATCTCCTTACATCCGCCCGAAAATATCAAATCAGTTTCAAAAGCTAACGTGGAATATCGAATAAAATATTCTGTCATCGTCAATCATGTATACCTGCACCAATCAGCGAGGATCTTGTAAACGGCATGACGTCGAATCTGTGTCATACATTGATGTATCAGACGATTGTAACTAATAATTATATAGATAAACGATCTAAACTGTTATTCAGATCACTGACATCAATCTGACAATAATTCAAAAAATTCTAATGACATCCATCACTCTCAGTTTCAATAACAAAAAAATACAGGATGGTAAATTATTTCAATATTCAACATTCTCCAACGATATAATATTGTGGATTGTAACAGTGGTCCTTCGAGCCGGATCACTGACATCAATCTGACAATAATTCAGAAAATTCTAATGGCATCCATCACTCATTATCCCCTCTGATATTATTTATCCTTTACTATCCTGTACTAACTCCAAAAAAAAACACATTCTAGGCAATATGACAGTGGGTGACTTGGTTATGGTCAACGGGTTACTGTTCCAGTTGTCAATCCCGTTAGGATTCCTGGGAAGCGTGTACAGAGAAGTCAGGCAAGCTTTGATCGACATGCAAACGATGTTCACTCTCATGACCATGGACAGTGCTGTCAAAGTAATAATAATATAATGTCGGCCCAGTGCGGAACAAATATTTTCAAAATCGATATTTTTAGAGTAAACCACAGGCTCCTTACCTTCATGTCGATTCAAAATCTTGCCCCATTCGATTCGAGAATGTTTCCTTCTCCTACGGGCCCGGGAAAGAGATCTTCAGGAATTTGAATTTGACCATTGAACCCGGCAAAAAAGTGGCATTAGTTGGTGGTTCAGGATCAGGGTGAGTCGGAGATATTTTTTAATTCGGAAGAATACTCTTTATTTTCTTATAGGAAGTCCACTTTGGTGAGACTGCTCTACAGATTCTATGAACCTAATGAAGGACGCATCTTGATAGGGAATCAAGACATACGAGAAGTGGATATTGACAGCTTGCGACGTTCCATATCAATTGTACCGCAAGACAGTGTTCTTTTTCATGACACAATTAGGTGAGTAGTATTCATTATTGAAGAAAGTGCAACGAACGGGGGTTTGTATTTTTTTTTTAAATTTTATTCCCCTTTTTATGATCCCTGTAGATGAGTCTTTCATTTTGTACTAAATGGTACAAAGGCAGTCGATTTAATTACGTACCAAATTTCGGGGAATGATAACAAAAATTCACACATAATGAATACTTCTACATCGCATAATCTCTATCATATTTGCATGAACAGTTATCTATCATGATATATCACTCTCACTGTCTGTTGTCAAGCTGTCAGTACTGTATCATCTTCCATATGACACCCCATCAAATCAACTTTATGAAGAAACAAATACATTTTCTTTGGCAGAGCACTATCTGATAAATACTCTCAAAATTTCTTTTGATATTATCAACAAACACCTCAAGTCTAACTTCATATTGGTAAAGAATTCTCAAATCCATGAACATCATAGTAGACAATATGACTTGTTTCATCTTGATGCTGCTAATTCTACACTTGGCCAAAAAATGTTTACTCACGGAGCTTTCTCTTTCTTTGATAATATCGAAAGTTGCACAAATATCACCCAATTCAAAATTAAAGTCAAGAAACATATATCCTCTTGCAAAGAGAAAATCAAACCTGAGTGAATGATTTCTCATGTACTAATTTATTTCATCATGTCATAATGTCCTTTTTATGGGACTTTTGTTTTTATTATTATTATTTTTGTGTATGTTGTTTATTTCAATAACTTGAGATTTAATAACGCATGAATAATCTCATACCAGATATGAATCTGTCTGATTATTCATGTTATCTCCTTGTAAATCTTAATAACATATAATTATATTCATACGAGATGCAATGTAATGTTTAGGTATAACAAAGAATGAAATAAAAATATTATCAGTATCCTTATCTCTAAAAAAACTTCACGATCTCCACCGATTTGAGTATTAGCGGCAATCTCATTCATCGATCAATACGATTATCTAGAAAATAACAATAATGAAAAACACACATATCCTTTTCATTCATCAAATAGGATTGTTTGTACATTGTAGTTCTAGATGGAAACCTAGTTACTAGGTGAGAAGGTTCAATATTGTCTGTTCATTGACCCACAATTTGGCTGCCTGTCACCTGTTAGTGGCTCTAGTTTACTGAGAACATCGACACCTCATTTGTTTCCATAGAAAATTTGTCAAAATGGACAATTTTGGGTTGAAGTTTTCAAAACTTCACATCATACAAATTACAATTTCGATGAGATTGTCTAATTTTGAGTTAATTGTTGGTGTGTTTGTTTTGGTGTACCATTTTGCACTTTTACAAGCGGTGGAGGTATTTGAATTCATTAACACTCCTCGATCAACAATGAGGTGGATTTAAATTTCTTGATTTTGACGAAGGAATCATGATCCCCGATCACGAAAACCCCTAGGTAACAATTCTGAAAAGAATCAGATTATAATTACAAAAGGCGTCCGCCATATTGATTGATTGTCTTTATTACCCCAAGAAACATAGTTGTTCATAATAGGGATACATAAACATTATGCATAATAATAATAATAATAATAATTTATTCATATTCAACAAGAGTATACATTATTTATACATAAATAATATCCACCCGAAACTAAACAGTTGAATACAAATGAATTAGCGAATCCGCGTAAGTCTAGATCAGACTTGAGTGCGAATGTACAGTATTCCTGTGTATTTCCTATCCAGCGTCGAGTAGCCATATTTCATTTATAAATTGGGTAATTATCTAAGTCTAGTACATAATGTTATAAATACAATTATGAAATTATAATAAGATATAACAAGTAGAAAAAATGCAAATAATCATGCAATATCAACCTTGTCCTTCATAAGAAGGTATTCAAATAAGAAATGGAATTATTGAAGTCTCGAATTTCCAAATCCCGCCCGAATTTTCAACTTCTGACGAAAGAATCATAATTTTCGACCCCGAAAACCCCCAGTTACCAATTTTGAATAGAATCGGACCATAATTACAAAACTCGTCTGGTATATTAGATCGGCTTTCTTCAATTTCCTAATGGTGCCGGGATAAAAAGTATCCAATAACCTTCTCCTGGTTCTAAGCTACCTCCTTACCAATTTTCAGCCAAATCGATCCAGTAGTTTCGGAGCCTATTCAATACAAACAAACAAACAATCAAATCTTTCCTCTTCATAATATTAGTATAGATTATGGTCCCTTGATGTAAATTGACGTATTTGTCATATTAACAGAGTACGGACAGATCCTCGTCTCCTCTCACTCTAAAGTGATTGTGAAACAGTTATATAGTTCAATCTCTATTCATTTCTGGGGATAAACACTAGATTTCTGACATTTGTTGTTTTTTAGGTTATATTGAGGACATTGGCGTATCATACGTAATTTCCACATGTAATTTCTCATTCAACTCTACATATTATATCCAAATGATGATGATAATTTTCGAGTTTTTGATTTTTCAACTCCAGCCTAATCTTTGTGAGGCAGTGAGGTAATGTTTCTGAAAGTTTAATACGTTTTACCAAATGGGACTGTTCTTAGGCAGTACTTACCTATCAATGAATTTTGATTTCAGATTAAGCCTTATGGTTGAGAAATGGTGAAGAAGTGTATGTAGGTATTCAATGTCATGTGTGCTGTATATATTCATGTTGGGAATCATTTTTGCAGTTTTTCACTCAATATTTCCTGAATGTAGGTATAATTTTTTAAATGGTAGGGCATATGCCTCTCCTTTTAATACTCCGTTTTAATCAAAACTGTTTCTACTAAAATGCATTCAAAAACTTGCGGAGGGGATAATTATAGGCACAATGAGAAAGTATAATATGTGATTTCGTATTAGTTTTACCTCGAATATTTTGCTGATGTATTTACCAATTTTCCCCATTCACTTACTTCACTTTCCATGTTCTAAGTTCAGTTGCATTTGATGGAAAGCTGACAAACTCATATTTGCCATCCAACTGATTGATACAGATAAACGCAGCACATTTTACCATCTTTCCAAAACAGAATTGAATTATGTTGTATTAAGATCAAGTATGAAATTAAAATTTTGTAAGATCTCTTTTAACGCCTATGAATATGGCGTGACAGCAATGTCATGTTAGGGACGCCAATACACGAAACCAAAGTCACTAGAGTTGTTTTTTATTGTTGAGCCGTGTTCAAGATTAGTTTTGAACGTTTTCAAGCGTGACGCAGTAATTTATCTCATTCAAGAAAACAGACTATTTTGAAATTGAAGCTGTCATAAGTCAGATACATAACACATAACCTGAAAACCGAAATCAATAATTAAATTTTAAAATTGATGATTATCTGTGAGAACTTGAGAATAGTTGAATATTTAATTGATAATCAGCAAACACGGTGTTTCTCTTTCACAAATGCTGAACCAGTCCAGAGAAATATGATGATGATAATCTGGAAATGATTATTCTTCTCGAAAATTTCCAACATTCTAAAGTGGAAAATTATGCACCATACCCACTCACACACCATACACACTCAATTTTTTAAGCTAAAAATAATATTTATAACCACAAACGCTCAAACCATCAAACTTCGACGTTTTCCCACTCCTCCACTGGTTTTCCAGGTTCGAACACGGTTCAAACCGTTCATTTAGAAGTTTTTGAACCGGAATGAACCGTATTACTTGGTGACGTCATAACTTGCACAAGAACATGATTAATTTCAAATCGTTTTGAACACGGTTCAACAAGAAAAAACAACTTGGATGATTAAAAGAGAAAGGAGCTATGATCTGTCCGTACCCTGTTAGATGACAAATACGTCAGTTTGCATCAAGGAACCCTAGTATAGATTAGTATAGTATAGATTAGAGTCCCTGTATATACATTAGACAAGAGTCCGGACACAAAACTGACAGCTGTTGGGGTTTTCAATATTTTGTTTCATTTGGTTTGCCCACCTGACAATGTGACGAAACATCATAGTCGTCCCGCCCGCTTTTTTTAATTATTTCGAATTCCTGTCACTGTCACTTTGAAATTTTATGACCGCCAAAATTTAGCATTTTGAATTATTTCAATGTCCTGCTGCGTACATTATTGCGATAATTCATTAAAATGGGGCTTCAAGTTATTATTATTATTTAATAGTTATTCTAGTTGGAATAGCCCTATTTCTCACTTCTACCTACGGCTATGAACGGTTTGACAAATAATCTAACCCTCAAAATTGTTTCTGACAATCATAGGTCGCGTGCAAGAACTGTCAGATGACCGACCCTGGAGGCAAAACATATTTGTTTACAAGTGATCGAAATAGTTTTCCACAATTATTTTGGCATATGAATCGTATTTTTCCGCTATTCATCAATTCGCTAATTCGCATCACATTGTGCTGTTGTAAAATGCACAAAAACTGCAGCGGGAGATGAAGAAATCCGGATGGTACATTATGATTCAAAAGTAAATACCTACTATAGTCACTCACATAGTTTTAATTTTGAAAATTTGATTATTTCTCTGATTTCTCATCGGAATTCCTTCTGCAATAGGATCAGCTGATAGAAATATACCTGAAATTTCTAGAATAATGCAAGAAGATTGAATTCATAATTCATGCAATCAATCGGTAGGACTGGTCTGACATGCTGACGATCGTGTGTGTTGTAGACATTTTCAATCTATTAGCAGCATTAGCTTGTATTGCAGAAGTGGCAGAAGGCAGGAGGAATTTTAATAAGGAATGACAACATTTCATAATGCTAACTATGTGAGATTACTATTTAGCTGAAAAATCATATTTCCTATAGTCTCTTGCTGCATTTTTTGTGCATTGTACAACAGCACAATGCGAAGGCATGCTTAAATTAATGAATGACGCAAGAAACACGATTCGTATGCCAAAATATTGTGAAAAACTATTTCAACCTTTTGATTCCTCTGTAACCAAATAAAAAAGTGAGGTTGTGTTTCAATGATTCACAGAAGAATGAGGTTGTGTTTCAATATTTTGCCTCCAGGGTCGGTCTTCGTGCACGCGACCTATTGATACCAGGGGAATTGAAAAGACAGAGCTCGATATATATGTCTTATTTCTTTATTCAATCATCAATGCATCATAGTATAGATAACTATTTATCAAGGCACAACCTGCACTACGGCGACCTGCGAGCCACTCAGGAGGAAATAGTGCGCGCCGCCCGTTTGGCGGAAATCCACGATTCGATCGTCGGCTGGCCCCGTGGGTACGATACGCCCGTGGGCGAGCGGGGGCTGAAGTTGAGCGGCGGCGAGAAGCAGCGCGTGGCCATCGCGAGGGCCATCTTGAAGAACGCGCCCATCTTGGTGTTCGACGAGGCGACCAGCTCGCTGGATTCCATCACGGAACATGTGAGTATCAACTTTTTTTTCTTTCGGGAAAATGTATTTATTTATCCTGTAAAGGTTCTGAGCAATCAGATGCGAATATCCAGGTCCAAACAGTTTATTTCCAAGATAAGTTCGAGTTCTAAAATTTACATAAACATAATACCTTCATACAGAAAATGGGCAAATCCCACATACCTAAATCAGGGACACTTCCTCACCCAGTAATACTGAATTGGGAGATTCCCCCAGGGATTCAAAATCTCGCACACAAATCTTCGAAACGTTGATATCACAAATTTCCTTATTGATATCTCTATTTATAAGTTTACCTGACAACGAGGCTTTATTTCCCCAAATCACATTTAAAGCATGTTCCTGAATTCCTGAATTCTGTTACAATCCCTTACGTTCCGTACCCTCACAATGGGCTCATATCACAAAAAAATTGTATTTCATAATTCGATAGAACTCACCCAAACTAGCTCACCACCGCAAACCGTTTCTTGCTGTGAGCTCCCTACGTTTTATAAAAAATTATTGAAATCCCCGATTTCTCAGACCTCTGAAAACGAGGCGATGATGTGACGTCAAAACCCTAACACTGAAACAAGACTATTCCAGACAGAGATGAATGATACATGATTTCTGACAGAGTGAATTAGCGCGAGATCACAGTTGAAAGAATTAATATATCAGTTGCCTCCAGTCTCCGTCGGGCGTTTGGTATTTTCTTTCGACTATGGCGAGATGAGGTTTTTACGTCATTAGAGGGTCCGTTTTCAGAAGGTATTATTTATGTACAAAAATAAAACATTCCAGTTAATTTTTCAGGATCATTATAAACATGGTTTGACTTAAAAGTTCTGCTAAGGTGTACACGCCCATTGTACGAGCATTATCTAAGTGATTTATAAGGATCAAAATATCAACCAGCCACTATGCTTGTGAGTGTTCTATTTGCACGGAACAAACCGCATTTGCTGCTTATTTTATCTTCAGGCGGCGTAAAAAATATAAATCATTGTGTGGTGCAATTGGTCTCGACTGAAAAATATTTCCTGAAGGTGAGTGAATCAAAAATATCAACTATATATGATATTGTGAATGATTTTATGCATTGAATGGCAAATGAAAACTTGATTCAACATGGTGACTCACAGTGTCTGTTTCCAAAATTTTCAGATTTCGGGGCATATTTGTGTACCATCACATTTGTGTGCTCCGGAAGCGTACCGCTACGGATCAATGGTCATTATCGATTTTGATTTGAACATTCCAGTGTGTCAAAACTGTCCTCCATTCCAAGAAATTTGAATTGCAAAAAGATCAAGATGAAATTCACGATTTGTTAGATCAGATAGGGTCAGATCTGGAAATCAATTCCGATAAAGATGACAGTGAGAGTTGAATGCATATGAACATGTAGAAGTGCCGGAGGAATATTTGTTGAGTGGGTGGATGAAAATGCCAATAAACCAACCGTTCTCCTTGCGACTAGAGAAGCTTCTATTCCAACAGATGACAAACGATATGATGAAAATGACCACTGGCCTGTCATTGATTCTCCGAAATCACCACGGTAGCCGTTCAAGGACGAGATATCAAAAATGCAATGTACGCCTATGCCTGTGATGAACAATGAAAGTAATTGTTTCGTCACTTTTCATAATAAACCATATAGTTATTTATTATACAAGGGAAAAAGGTTGAAGATTTTAGCTCCAGATTGTGTTGTCTCCAGAACCGTGAGCTAAAATCTAATATTTTTCCCGTGTATAATACACTATTTCTTTTGTGTTACAGAAGAAAGGACGAATCAATATCGAGAAGATATTACATTATTTTGAAATCTGAAAATTATCGACGTGAAATGTTGAGTTTTTAACAGTAGGGACACCTGCGTTGTAGGCATCTTTATCATTCTTTTGAAGTAATCAAATATCTGATGTCACTTCTGTCAGTCTAATTCTGTGATTTGATTTCAAAAAATTGCGAATTCAGTGGTTTTTTAGTAATAGACGTAAACGCGTAGTCGAATGGAAGATAAAAGGACTTGCAGTTCTTTCTCGGAGACGGTATTATTGACTCATTTTTCTGAACTATAGCACAACAAAAGCCATCAACAGTGTATATATATATGTGATATATATCCGGGAAAAAAGGTACTCACTTTTTTCCCACGGGAAAAAAGTAATATATGAAAAGTGACATTTTATTACCTACCAAACTTCTTTCCCGTCACAGAAAAAATGTATTTATTTATTTCAATGGGCCATGGTTTTAGTCACCGTTCTTGATTTTTTTACCGGAATGAGATTTTGTCCTATTTTCTTGTCACCCTGTATATTCCACAATGGTATTTGTTTCGTCTTTCATTGTCCTCCACAAAACATGAGAATAGTTCTTCCCAATATTCAGCTCAAGTAAAGTTCTAGAGAAAAAATTCTTGAAATGCAAGACATTCGAGAAAAAATCAAATTCTTGTTCCAATGACCAATTAAGAAGAAATCACGAAAACGTTCCAAGATGAGGTCCAGTGTATCATATTATGACTGACCTTTGATCAGAGAAAAATGTCTCGAGTTCTGGCAGCATTGGAAATGTAGACCATAGTGTAATGGTTCCACTTTACACCCTGTGAAAGTTGTGTTCTGCAGACTTTTTCAGAGTGTCCTAGCTCTCTTTGAAGCCGATGAAATATCACATCTGATATCGAAAATCGCATGAAGATCGGTCAATTTAAAAAAAAAATACAGGTCTTCGAAAAAGAGTCAAATTATAAGTGGTCCATTTAGTGTGTTGAAAACTGTATGCGTTCAAAAATATCCTTAGATCAGTTTATTTGGTGTTCAAAATTGAGATTTTTGATCTGCATCTTTCTACGCAATGTGATCTATATATACTGTTTATGCAGAAAGTGAGTGATTTCATCTGATACTTCTTGACTACCTTCAACTGACTATTTTACAGAAAAACACATCACTCTTAGAATTTTAAAACAAGAACTCAGAACTGAACATATTCTTGACGCAAGTATAGACACATTGAGCAAACTCCTCACAAATATAAAAAAAATACAACAGACGGTTATTTTTTGAGAAGACGGATATATCCAAAATGAGAACAGTTTTTCAGAAAGTTTTATGAAAATCGCAATCCTAGTTACCCTAGACAAATCGTCTTCTTAGATGAAACTTGGATATTTGCTAAAGGGAATAAGATAAGATCATAGCAAGATCAAAGTACAAAAAGTGTTCGTAAACCAGAAGGTTATGATGGAAAACGATTTATTGTACTTCATGCTGGCCATAGTGGTGGTTTTGTGGGAAATGCTGCATAGTAATATTCCAAATACCTAAAACGACTCAACAGTTAAATAGATGTGTATATCGGGTCATATACCAACCCATACGTATATACATACCAAAGTTCTGATACATGTTGTTGCCTTCAATAAATTGACGAATTGAAGAGTTCAAACTCAAAATATATACCAATCCTATGTTTTATTGATTGTTTCTAAGTCAAAATTACCTGGAGTAGTGAATAAAAATGTTCTGAATATTATTATTTATTTTAACCCAATTTCTGAAGCACCGCGGCACTGCTTCACTGGAACATATGACCTTGAATGGATTTGATTCGTTTTTTGAAGTTGTGACGTACGCGCAAAAAAATATTATACATACTGTAGGTATATGTATCTAACTAACTCTCCGAGCATTCCACAGAACATCCTGAAAGCGTTGAAGAACGCCACCAGAGGACGCACTAGCATCGTCATCGCGCACCGTCTGAGCACCGTCATGGATGCCGACGAGATTTTCGTGCTCGAAGATGGGCAGGTAAATGGGCGGGGCACCCACAGGACGCTGATGCAGGAGCGAGGAGGGCTCTATTGGAAGCTGTGGGACACGCAGAACCAGGCTAGTCAGGAGCAGCTGAGCGAGGACAAGGCGAGAGCGGGGTGAAATCTCGAATGGTGTATATTTTTTGTTATGTCATGTAAATATTATTTGTTTTGTTGTCAGATGTTTTTATTTTTGCTCTTGTAAATATCTTGTACAAACTGACTCAGTGAGGGGATGCAATAAATATTTTATTTTTATGACGACATGGAATTTTATATCTACCTTACTGCCTTGATAATATTCACACTAATAAGATGATCCACCTCCATGTGAAATGTTGAAGACTTTGGCCTCAGTTCTTGGTTCTTAGGCGGCGCGAGTGAAACTCAGCAAAATATGGTCGATTTGTCTATACTCTCGGAATCTGTTCCAGTCCATCTATCTGCAAGTTTGCTGAACTACCTAGGAATATCCTTCTTTCTGAAGCAGGAAAATCTCTAACTTTGATATCATGAAGGCTTTTAAATAAAAATATTTGAATCCGACCCTGATGCGACATAACCTTTTCGCATAAAATCATCTAAAAATAAACCTAAGTCTGCCTTACCTATGTCTACCCTTCGCTACTCAACAAAAAGTAGTTCACCTTGTTGCTCATATATACCGCTCCCTACTAATTTGTTGTTCTGAAATTGTTCTATCAGTCATTCGGCAGCCCCGTTACGAGCAACCCTCAGAAGTCTTCAAGAAACTGGTGCGAGCAAGGAATGACATATCTAACTTCATTGATCCCATAAGGATGGTTCATCTTGTTGGTATAAATTATCATGGATATCTGGTATATCTACTGATGTTGCACTATTTTTGTTAATAGTGGAGACAATGTTTTCTCGCATGAACAAAGTTTCATTCTTCCCTCGACAAGTGACGTGACAAATTTTAAGTAAAGTAATAGATTTTCTATATTTGGTTTTCCGACTCTGAGATGAAATTTTGTGCGTAACTGCTGAAAACCAACAATCAACAATTCTTTAGGTTATGATGAGAGCCTAATAAGTTCGAATTGGCGCAGTCGGTAGGATATTCATAAATGGTCCCGAGATATTCAACACCAAAGTTCGAGAATGTATGTACGCTGGTTTGAGATTTTTAAGGGTCAAATCAATATCAGACTCTGTAGTTATATCCGACATTCTCAATTTTATTTATTTTTTTTTTTTTTTCAGTTATTGCATTACATTCTCTTCTTCATTGATACATTTCATACAAATAATATATAAAGTATAATTAATTTTCTAGTAGGAATGACATGAATGATCAGACAGTAATTCCTGAATTTATGAACGCCTTCGACTTTTATACAGAGAAGTGCACAAAAAACGTCCAGTGCGGTAACTTCTGAATCATTCGAGATCAGATTTTGAAAATTGCGGGGTAGTAAGTATTACAAATTGCTGATAAATTGACAAAATAATTTGTCTTCTATCTATCACTTCCGGTTTAACCGGAAACGACCCCCAACTTTTGATTTTTAAATGGGACCCACTATTTTATATCATAATCGGTTAGAGATTATCACAACGAATTCCACGATACTAGATACTTGATATGGTTATCTCAATCGATTACGAAGATATTCGTGTTCTAAGTTTCCATATGCTGAACGAGTGTGCTAATATCAGACTAAAAAAAAATTGTTCTTATCCATCATTCGGTTTCCCCCTTACGAGCAACCCTCAGAAGTCGTCAAGAGACTTGTGCGAGCAAGGAATGACAGGGGTCTTACCTTTTAACGTGTGATCCCATACACTTTCTTAGGCCATCAGAAAAATTTCTGCGGTCGTGGTGGGAAATCGAACCCACCTACCGGCAATCCAACGTGTATAGAACATAGACGCTTTAACCACGAGGCTACGCTGGCTTTAGTAGTTATGTCTGACATTCCCAATTTCATGAACGCCTTCGACTTCAATATATCATAAATCAGTGTAATTAGATCTATGTCATTGGAATCTCCCAGGAAATATTGAGAGTGATTGAAATTACATGATTTGTGATGAATTCAGAAATACCTGTACTGTCTCTGAGATATGAATATCTATTCGCGATAGAAAATGACACGTCGTTCCACCTCACGGCAACAGCTTGAACACTTCTGTGCAATTATTATTGTTTCGATTTATTATGTTTTATATGTATGTTTTTGTTGTATACAGGGTGGATCACGGTGGATGGCCTATTAGAAGTATCTGGAGAACGAAAAGACAGAACATTCTGAAAATTTGGATGCTTTGATAATTGAACATTCTCTATTCGTCTTAAATGTTTTCATCGATACAGTGTTGCCACTTCTATCAGAAACAACTAGCAACTTTGTTATTTCAAATGGAACACCCTGTATTTTATTGCATTTTTAGATTCTTCCTGAGGAGCTGATTTCATCAATGTATCACACTTGGGGTCTAGCAGAAATGATTACAGAGATATGGGGTATTCAAAATCTGGATTTTTCAACTTTAGGATTTTTTTGTGACGAAACTATTCATTTTTTATCAAAACGGCTTACTTGTCCCTATCTTAACTTTTGATTCTCTATCTACTGGAATTTAATTGGAAAGAATACAGGGTGCTTCATGATTCAGAATTCTGATCACCCTGTATCTGTTCCAATTAAATGTCAGTAGATAGTGAATCGAAAGTTGAGATAGGGACATGTAAACCATTTTGATCGATAATGAATAGTTTTGACAGAAAAAAATCCCAAAATTGATAAATCTCGATTTTGAACACCCTATATCTCTGTAATTATTGCTGCTAGACCCCAAGTGTGCCATATCGATAAAATCAGCTCTTTAGGAAGAATCTAAAAATGCAATAAAATACAGGGTGCTCCATTTGAAATAACGAAGTTGCTAGTTGTTTCTTATAGAAGTGGCAACACTGTATCGATGAAAACATTTTAGACGAATAGAGTATGTTCAATTATCAAAGTATCCCAATTTTCAGAATGTTCTGTCTTTTCGTTCTCCAGATACTTCTAATAGGCCATCCACCGTGACTTATTATTATAAACAATAATGTTTCTTGGGGTAATAAAGACAATCAATCAATGTTGTGGCCAATAAGCACCAACAAAAAAACAAATGTGAACCAATGAAAACAAAGTAAACAGGCCGCTTTGACAGCTTTCAAGAAGTCCGATAGGCGGGAAGTATCAGTTTTAGCTTTGTGTTTTGATGAGAAATTCAGGTTTCCTGAAAATATATAGATATAGTGGGTGAGTCAATAAGTCGTCGCCCAAAAAAAGAAATATATACTTTATTTCCTTCATTATCATAACAAAATCGTATCTATCAATCTGAACCCTCTCATATCAATCCCGCAGAGTGCTTTGGACTTTGGCTCAAACTCTCCACGCTATCACCATTATCAATCGCCTTGAGCGTGGCTAGCAGCTTCCTCCTGTCATTCGAACCCACTCTAGGCTCTTTCTTCGTGACATTCCCATTGCGATCCTTGCTCTGGCTCTGAAACTTCATCTCCTCTGCCAGTATCTCGTTGATGACGTCCACTCCGCTGTCATTGTCAAACGTCAACAAGGAGTCCTTCAGTTTCGCCTCCATTTTCTGCGTTTTCTTGAATGTTTCTAGGAGAGTGTCGGTATCGTCCTTGGACATTTTGAGGCTCTCTTTGTGAGCGTCTATCCGCTTCGAGGATATTCTGACGTTTGACAGGACGTCGGAGCAATAGTCGCCCAATTTCCTGTCGAATTCCTCGGTGGTGTTTTCGGTGGCTCTCTGAATGGCGGCGTCCAGTTTGTCCAGGGGCGAACTGGAGTTTGGTCGGCTCTTTTCTATGCCGCTGCTGCCCGATGAGTGTTCTAGGTTGTTGAAAGATGTCTGGAAATCGAGAGGAATAGTCTGTATAGGTAGAGTAGATGACACTATAGTGGTATTGTTTCGTTCTGAACTCACAATTTTTACTTAGTTTGTAGGCGACAGGTAAAATATGGTCTGTTATTGACACCGACTTATTACTATATCTAGATTGCTAGTGGTCATATTGCAGCAACCCGAAAAGGTAGGGTCAGTTGCTCTCCTGAAAACGCTTCTGCTCAATACGCAGGAACCTTCAAGCTGTCGGTCATGACTTGCGTGGTATCGAAATCAACCTAGCATACATTTTGTTCATAGGCGGTACAAGGTGTATGGTGTCGGCTTCAGTGTTTTCTTTATGTCATCCTGGGTCGGCTTAATATTTTTTTTATCGCTTGGAGCGCACGAAAGGAAATCCCTATAATGTTCAAAGAACATCGTGCGTTCCTAGGGAGGATAAGGATAGGAGGTAGGTATTGGAATTTTTTTTTGAACTTCTGGAGATTATATGTTGTTGGGAATACTTCCTCAGGCAATGAATTCCAGAGCCCAGCCGTTCTATGAATGAAGGAGTTTTGATAAAGTGCTGTTCGACATCTTTCGAGGTTGACAACGAAAGGATGTGCTGACTGGACTTGTCTAGTTCGTCTGACTGGTATTGCTAGTGAAGGGATGATAGAAGAGATTTCCGAAGAACATTTCCCGTGGAAGTATCGATAGAAAAGTGAAAGGTCGCCCACCTTTCTACGGTTTTCCAATGATGTCAGAGTGAGTGAGTGTGGCGTCACCCACCAGGCGGATGGCTCTTCTCTGGATGGAATCTAAGAGCATCAGCGTATGTTTTGTTGCTGAACCCCATATGTGGGAACAGTATTCTAGAAGAGGCCGTATCTGCGCTTTATAATATATTATCAAAATTGAGTGGTGGTATTGATTTTTTCGTTTTATTTTCGCTAATCCCAGGAAATGAAGTGCTTCGTTCTTTAGTGTAGGAATTCCACGATTAATAATACTAAAGATGTTTCTTCTCATCCGTGAGTTTGTGGGTAATCACTAATTAATTATTTTTATTTGCTTTCATCAGTTGAGCCAAGTATTCAAATCAAATTGAATCATGCATGTATTGTATATTCATTCAGCTGTGAAGAATTTGAGTTCAGGCGTGAGGTGTCATACCTGCTCATCTGTTTCAGACTATTTTGGATTAAAACTTTACTCATTCAATAATGATTCTAGTACTCCTAAGAATAAGATGAGTGAATGGTTTGACGCTATTAGGACACCATTATTGGACCTTAGCCGCTCAGGAAGGATAATTAGGTTCGGACCATTTTACGCCAGACAGCAGCTTTCACTTACCCCCGTCTGACGGGAAAAGTATGAGAGATGGAATTTTTTGGTGAATTTTGTCAACATCCTGACCCGATTTTTGCTTCTGAAAAAAATTTGTTTTGCCCAATTCCTCCAAACGCCCTGTATTGAAATGCTGAGTATAGCTTGTTTTTGGGCAAGAACGGGTAATCTAGAGTGCAGTAGAAGCAAGAATGAGTATTGAAAATAATCGTTAAAAAAATGTGTTTGCCCATATTCTCCGACACCCTGTATTGGAAGGCCAAATATAGTTTGTCTGTGGGCGAGAACGGGTATTCTAGCGTGTAGTAGAGGCAAGAATGTGTATTTCATAATTCTGGTAGACAGAATTTATAGGAATGCTGAATATACCTTATATGTATACGGGAAAGGGTGAAAGAAAAAATGTGACATTCTGGCATTTTCATGGTGGCAAAATGTTTGTTAAAATTTTGTGAGATTTTTTTTTGTATGAAATTTTTGCCCCTCCCCTATTGTTTAAAATTTTTCGTTAGAAACTGTCAGTCGTATTCTAGTGACGAAAATTTTTTGTAAGAAAAAGAATTATTGAAAAAAAATCGAATACAATTTTCCCGATTTCTTTAAACAAGTTTCGATTTTTCGCAAATTATGCCAAGTTTTTCGTGACCTTGTAAATTCAAAAAATTGGATTTTTCAATATCTCGCTCAGATTTGTCGACATCATGTTTTGACAATGTGCTCATATGTATCGTAGTTAGATATCTTTAAACAATAAAAAGCATTATACTAACCTCTGAACTCGCCTCAGAAAAATTGCTATCCCCGCTACCCCCACTCCTCGTCCTCACAGATCCGCCGGACAATCTGTTCTTCACGCTCTCCGACGGTACGCTCAAAATACTCTCGGCCTTCTTGACGCCGCCATCTTCCCTGCCTACTTTGATCGGCTCGAGCTTGACGTCGGTCACCGGCGTTTTGCCGGCCACGTGTTCCACTCGATTTTCGAGGTCTTCGATGGTGCTCAGCTTTTCTGAGCTGGCCGCTCGGTGGGGGAACGCTCCCAGAGTGATCATGGAGACGGACTGGCGTTGGGACAGGCGGGTGAAGCGGTTCTTCTTCGGTTGTACCACGTTCTCTCGTACCTAAGAACCGTTTCACCACTGATTTATACAGTGTCATTCATTGAGTTGACATCTTATACAGGGTATTCCTAGAAGGTCTTTACAGACCAAAACAACATTTCTATACAAGCAAACTCACCTCAGTACAATGGTAATTTTCCATAATAAGAGTTATAAAAATACACTCACCGGCAAAAAAAACCGGCCACTAAAAAATGTTGCCAAATTGTTTGTTCTGTACAGGGTGATTCACCATGAATGCCCCCCCCTCTAGTTCAGTTATTTTTTAACCGATTTCAAAATTTGAAATATCATCTTAAATGATTTCCGATGAAGGTTTTTCCCACTACATCCTAAAATACAGGGTGCTCGGAACAAATGATCTATAGGATACTATTTGATGTTTTAAATGGAACACCCTATTTTTCATTGTATTTTTAGATTCTCCCTGAAACTATTAGGCAAACGTATTTATGGGCAAACGCTGTACCAAATGTTGAGTTGCGCTCTTTGCCGGCAATACGTAATAATAATAATAATTCTACTTCATGGACGCAGTGTACATTTTTATTATTCTAGTTACTAACCTCCAAGAGTGATGTCAGCCTGTCAATTTCTGACATAGCTTGCCCCAGTTCTTTTTGACATTGCTTGTATTTCATCATTTCGGCGTTCAGCCTCTGTTTGGAAGTTTTGCTCTCCAACACTAACTTCCTATTCAATATCGAATTTTGTTCGTCCGATTTTTTCAGCTGCAATTTCAAATCCTCCAATTGGTCAACGAGTTTTTCTCTGTCCAAAAGTCGCTTGTCTCTTATAAAAAGAATATATTAAATATTAGTTAGATAATTTGATGAGTCAGGAAATGAGGAGACATCTTTTATATTTTTACCTATTGAGCTTTTCAAGATGGCCGAGTTTTTCCAGAGTTCTTGCCAACTCCTCTTCTTTAACTTTTAGAAGATCGTTTAGTTCTTTCATTGCCTTTCTTTGAGATTTGTTCCTCTCGCTCAAAATGCGAATTTGTTCTTCATGGGAATGTATCAACCGTGGCAAATCAGCATTCGTACTTTCATATCTAAAAAAAAACATTTGGCGAGTGGACTTTTTTTTTCATTTCTTAAATAGGATCATCACTCAAAAACCTTTCAATTTCATATTTTTTAAGAATGTTTTGGTCGATTTTTAGGTGCTTAAATCATCAATAATGCCACGGTAATTTTCAAACGTCTAGAAATTTAGCGCCAGTAAAAATTGACGTCATGATTTCGTAAGTAGGGGCAGACCATAGCACAGTTGCCATGTGTTAAAATACGATTGGGACCTTCAGAAATATTAGTTATTCAATAATTCATGAACTCCTAATTAGCAATGAAAATTCAATCGTTTCAAAATATTCCCTCTTATGATTTGTGGTTTATTGCTTTTACTAAATTTGTGTAAATAATAATTATATCAATTCACACTAGAGGAAATTTGAATCGGTGTACGTGATAACCACGGCACACGACTTGTGGGCGTGGTCTTGTCAGTTCTCAGCATTCAGCACAATGTTGCCATGTCTCCAACATTCACATGAAATTTTGTTATGGAGAATAATGAATATTTAGACATGCTGGTTGTTCGAAAAAGTCACGAATGGAATAAAACATCATGGGTTCCTCCTATTATGTTTTATTCAACGACATGACTCTTAGATCTTTTTGATAATTATAATTGGTGACAACCTTGCTCCATGAGTTGAAATGGAAGATCATATCTGACCAATAACGAAACAGCATAAAAACTGACGTCACCATTTATTCAAACATATCGTCAAATGGCGGCCATGAAGGTTCGTTTGAAATGAGCTCTGAAATTTAACAATTTCGAACAACGCATACTCATTATTTACATAAAAAATGTGTGAGAAGTGTTGCAAGAATTAATTCAGGTTCCTAACGACACATAGGCGTTTTCGGAAACTTACTCTGGGTTGATAACTCGATCAAGTAAGGTCACGTGACAAAAAACTCGGAGCATCTACTCGTGTTCAACGTTTACGAACGTGTTAGGTTAGGAACACTGAATATTATATTTTTCCTGTGGTTTCTTGAATTTGACAGACGAAATTGGTCACATTATATTCAAGTAATTATTTGATCTGATTTCAAATATTTATATTTACCTGTGGATTGGTGTACTTGTCTCATATGTGTTGTTGCACATATAACCACAACATTCACCCCTACCCAAATTCTCTTCTCAATAAATTACTTTAATCAAATTATGAAGATTGAAAAGAACATGTATATCACCGGTCGTGATTTCTCCCAACATGCAAATTATTTTATTATTATTGTTTTCGTCGAATGTAAACTCCCGCGTTTTTTTATTGACTTAAATTCCGTAATGCGCATGCGGTGTCCTTTGCAACTCTGGTGACCATGCTTTTGAGTAGGGTCACGAAAAATCAACCCGAGTCAGTGATCGAGTTAGCATCATTCAAGTTTCCGAACAGAGGTAGGTAACTCGGTTTGGGTAACCGAATGTTCAGGTTAGGGATCCGAACAACCCGAGTAAGTTTCCGAAAACGCCTATACAGAGTGAAGTAATTTTCAAGGATGATATAATGGTAAAGTGAGTAATGAAAGGAATACTTACTTTGATAAAGCTTTGTCTTGGCGTTTTTGTAAATTTTTGAGGGTTTGGTTCTCCTTACATAGTTCCTGGAAAAAATCAAGGAAATTCATAATATTCTCTTATACTAGACAACTCGATTTTGCATCAAAATGTAGTACAATATAATTGAGATCTTGAGTAAAACTAAGAATTTCTTTCCACTAAGCTTAAATCAAATTTTATATTAATCAGGAATTCCGAAATTCATGATCATCACACTAGACAATATAACTTGTTTCATCTTGAAGCTGTAAATTCTAATCTTGAGCAAAAAAAGTTTACACATATGAGGCGATTTCGAAATTCAATAAATTACCAGATGATATCAAAAACAGCCCAAATATTATGCAATTCAAAAATAAAGTTAAGAAATATCCTTATATGCAAAGAAATGATCAAAGCTGAAAGACTATGAATTTCCTTTTTTTTACTGTTTTTATTTTTCCCCTTCTTGTTCACTATAATATGACTATTATTTTGAGATATCTTAATGATATGTAAGTTTTGTTCACTATTTGTAATTTCAATTATACAACAGTCGATAATAATACTTAATGAATGATCTTATACCAGGAATTACTGTCTGATCATTCATGTCATTCCTACTAGAAAATTAATTATACTTTATATATTATTTGTATGAAATGTATCAATGAAGAAGAGAATGTAATGTAATAACTGAAATAAATAAATAAATAAGTTGATGAATTCATTATAGGTAACGTAAGCTCTTATTATTATTCATCAATGATTTAAATCGTAGAAATCATCCATACTCTAAGACTAAGTGGTCCAATGTATTTTAAAAGAAGAACACAAATTCCAAAGTCGGTCGACCACACATTATATAAAATAGGGTTGCCATCTCTAAAATGTGAAAACCGGGACAAGGCTACTTGAAAATCCGGACAAAACCCGGACAGCGGGAATTTTTCATATACATATGAATGAGTTCCAAGATGAATGGTGAATATCACTCTAGATATCACTATAATTCGGGTATATTACCTACATATTTTTTGTTGCACAAATCGAATAAAAACTCAAAAACATTTTTAAACAAAATATAAACCAATCAAGAGTTTGAAACAAAACTATATGTCACATAAATAATACCAAATCTACAAATTCTCAATTTTTGAGCAAACTTCCACTGACATGATAATTCAAACTAATAGGATATTTAGTTTTAATCTTCTCCTGAAGATGCTAACATAGTTAGCGAAACACGTGTCGAGGCGTTAAAATATCGGTTTGGTTAGTGGTAAAACAGTGTAGTGTATTCATGTTGAAAATTGAGGTCACTTCATCGATTACTTATTCCTAATCTCATAATCTCAATATAATACCCATAAAATACTAAAACTACTGATAACACAACTACTTTTATATCATACTCACTGACAGATGATAATTTGCATCGTTCAGTTGATTCTGTATCGATCTTAGTTTCAATAGCTTGGCTGACAAAACCCTTTGGCGGACCGGGTTTCCAGAGCTCTTTGTATAATTTGGTCTGACTGAATACACTAGGGGATTCATGGGCTTCCTTTTTCGCAAGTAACAGCTAGAATTTGACGTGCAGACCGTGTCACAACTATCACTCCTGCGAAGTAAGGTAGTTTTGATATCCGAAATGAATTTATTCGAGTGAAGTCATATGTAAGCTGTTTGTGAGAAGATATAATTCCCATATCACTGATACGAATGATTTTTTTTTGAAGTTCCAAGCTCAACAAGATCTAATACACACTTAAATTTTCATTTCAATACTGAACATATTTGATTGTTTCTTTGTTTGTATGTATGTATTGAATAGGCTCCGAAACTATTTTTTATTCCGGTACCAATAGCAAATTCAAGATGGCGGATCTAATATATCGGACGAGTTTTGTAATTATGGTCCGATTCTATTCAAAATTGGTATCTGGAAATTTTTGGGGTCGGAGATTATGATTCTTTCGTCAGAATTTGAAAATTCGGGCAGATTCTGTAAATTCAAGATGGCGGAACCAATATACAGTGTGTCCACCTTAAGGACTTGCCACCCCTGTAAAATTGTTATTATCTGACCGATTTCAAAAATCTTTTTTTTGTTGGATAGGTATTTGAAATGTCCATCCAACAAGAGAGTGATTTTACTCATGAACTGTAATCGTGGCCAACTGCGACCAACTTTATTGACCCATATTTGAGAAAGTACTATTAGGGATTTTTTTTCACAAAAAACAATAATGGATTCTGAATCACGATCACTTGAAAAACACCATAACTGATTTTTATCATCATAAAACACAGGGTGTCCGAAAAAACGAATTATGTTTTTTTTAATAGGTGATCAGAAAATGTAATATTGTGGTATTTTTGAGAAGAATCGATGACACATTATTATTGAGGATCACTTTGAACATATCTGTACCGATTTTCATCATTCAAAAATACGATGTGTATGAAAAAACAATTAAAATGAAAAAGTAGGAATACTTTTTCATCAACTCAAAAAAATATTAATTTGATTTTTCGAACACCCTGTGTTTAATGATGATGAAAATCGGTACAGGTATGTTCCAAGTGATCCTGATTCATCTTTTTATTTTGAGTGAAGAATTATCAGGATGAAAAATATTGCTTACATACCCTTTTTAATTTTTTTCTCAGACACATTGTATATTAAAATGACGAAAATTGGTACAGGTATATTTGAGATAATCCTCAATGATAATTTGTGATTATTCCTTTTTAGAAAAACCACAGAACTACATTTGCTGATCACCCATTTGAAGAAAATGATTATTCGTTTTTTCGGACAACCTGTGTTTTATGATGATGAAAATCGGTACAGGTATATTTCAAGTGGTACTGATTCAGAATCCATCATCAAGTTCCGCGGAAAAAACTCCCTAATAGTACTTTCTGGAATATGGGTCATTGAAATTTGTCGCAGTTGGCCACGATAACAGTCCAAGAATTAGATCACTCTCTCGTTGGATGGGCATTTCAAATACCTATTCAACATAGAAAGGTTTTTTGAAATCGGTCGGATAATAACGATTTTACAGGGGTGGTGAGTTCTTAAGGTGGACACACTGTATATATATGGCGGACGAGTTTTGTAATTATGATGTGATTCTTTTCAAAATTGGTAGGTACCTAGGGGTTTTCGTGATCGGGGATTATGATTCCTTCGTCAAAATCAAGAAATTCAAGATGGCGGATCCAAAATGGCGGATTTTGTAATTAGGATCCGTTTTTATTAAAATTTGGTGTCAGTGGCTCTCGGGGTCGGAGATTATGATTCATTCGTCAAAATTGGGAAATTCAAGACGGTGGAATCAATATACCGGACGAGTTTTGTAATTATATACCGATTCTATTCAAAATTTGTAAGTGTGCGTTTTCGGGAGCAAAAATTATGATTCCTTCGTCAAAATTGGGAAATTCAAGTGAACTAAAAAGAAGTTGAAATAAATGGTAGTTTGAAAAACGATAAAGAAACACGCTTTTATAGGTTGAGAAACTAAAAAGAAGTAGAAAATGAAGTAATAATAGTGTCTTGATAATGAATATTAAACTGAAAAAATATATCATAAAAATAATGTAGGTATATAGCAAAACAGCGTTTGCGACTGTCTGCTAGATACCTATTTATGAAACAATAATTCACTGTAGTGTTCCAATTAACAGTAGTGTTTATATGGTAGCGTATGGATTCAGTAAGAAAGCCTACACAGAACACACAAAAAAGCTACTCATTCAATTTTCTATAGTGGAATATATATAGTATGTATCTGCAATAAAAAAAACTGGGAATTGTTGCGAGTGTGCTTAGATTCTTCATAAATGTTATTTCTGTCAAGTATAATTATAGCTACATAATTATATATTTAGATTAACCCAAAAGCTGAACTACAAAAAGGTGAAATAAAATTGAATAATCCGAATCATCCTATATAGGTGGATAAAGTTCTGAAAGTTTCGTTTTATAACACAGCAGTCCTACTTATACAAATTTGTAATTGAAATAATCGTCATTGCATTTTAGATGGATTTTTTCCAGGAATGCTTGAGTGCTGACATTGAGTAGAAATATAATATCGATTAAACAAGGTATATCTCTATGAATAGACCATTATAATTAATCTAATTAATGGCATTCTTATTAAATGATAATGAAAGAACTGTTTATATTGTGCCAATTTTGAAAATGTTTTGTCCACTCACCTGTGTCCCTCAGATTTGTGGGACTTCAATGCAGATGCGGAACTGCTACAGCTAGTCATCATTGTTCAGGTGTTATTTACCGTTATTAATTAAATATCCATTGAAAAAACTGTATAAAAGGTCGATTTTCAATCAAATAAAACTGCAATGCAGAAATGTCATGTTTGTGTGTACCTTTCAATAGGGGTTGCCCTAGTAACGATTTCAATACGTTTATTAATATGGTGGAAAATCCATACAGAGTGTTGTTGTACTAGATTTCATCGATTCGCTTTAATTTGGGTGTTATACGATGTGTTTCAAAATTTTTCTTCAGATATTGGGTGCATTTTTTTGCTCAAAGTAAGGTATTTTTGTGATGAATTTTGGAACACTAGGTATGTATTCGAATTTCAAACAAAGATAAAAATCGAGTAGGTATCTAAGAGAAATAAAGTTACCTCTATACAGGGTGTCCCATTGGGAAACGGAAAAACTTCAACAGTTGGTAGAGCTCATGAAGGTGATTCTGAATATACCATATTTGTAGGGTCTCGCAAGTTTTATATCCGAGATATAGGGTGTTTTATCAATTTTGTTCAATTCTTTGTGAGGACATAACTTACGAACCACCCAGTATATTCATTTGGAATTTGGTACACAATTTCGCCTTCTTCTACCAAAGCGACTCACCTATCAGTCAGGACAAAAATTCAGGACTTTCGTTAATTTGGTCCTGGATTTTTCTCGTGGGCTTGGGTAGATCAAAGAGAACTCGTGTACCGAATTCCAGAAAAATATACTGGGTGGTTCGTGATAATATTATTCGATTGGGAAAATTCAGAACATATTATTTTTACCTATCCAATTGCATACAACCTCGAATTCAAAATCAGAAATTCCATTGTGAAATTGCATGTGGGAAAATGAAAAGTACATCATTCGATTAAACTTTTTGTGCACTTTCCAAATGTGTAAACGAATTTTGAGAATTCGAAAATACAGGGTGTTCTTCTTGGGGTCCAGAAATATGATCAATTTTCGTTAATCCGGACCTGGATTTTTCTCGTGGATGATTGGTGAGGCGCTTGGGTAGAATAAGGAGAACTCGTGTACTAAAGTACAAAAGAATATGCTGGGTGGTTCGTGATAATTGTTGTTATTCGATTGGGAAAACTCAAAACATATTATTTTTACCTATCCATCAAATGCATAAAACCTCGAATTCAAAATCAGAAATTACTTAATGAAATTGCAAGCGGGAAAATGACAAGTATATCATTCGGTTCAGATTTTTGTGCACTTTCGAAATATGTAAGCGGATTTTGGGAATTCGAAAATACAAGGTGTTCTTTTTGGTGTCTAGAAAATATTATCAACTTTTGTCAATCCGGACCTGGATTTTCTTCGCGACTGATATAGGTGAGTCACTTTGGTAGAAAGAGAAGGAATTTTGTACCAAATTGCAAAAGAATATACTAAGTGGTTCGTAAGTTATGTCCTCACAAAGAATTGGGCAAAATTGATAAAAACACCCTATTTTCGGATATAAAACTTGTGAGACCTTACAAATATGGTATATTCAGAACCACCTTGATGAGCTCTACCCACCGTTGAAGTTTTTCCGTTTCCCAATAGGGCACCCTGTATACAGGCTGATTCACGGTGGATGGCACATCATACGTTTCTGGAGAACGCAACTCAGGATTATTCTGAAAAGTTGGTGTCTTGGATAATTAGTTGTGTTCTATCGACCTAAAATATTCTCAGTGTTGCGAGGTTGCCGCTTATATCGAAAAGTAGCAACAACTTTGATTTTTTAAATGGGACACCCTGTATATTATTCCATTTTCTGATTCTTCCTGGAGAGCTGATTTCATCGATCTATCACACTTGGGGTCTAGCGGTAATGATAACAAAGATATAGGGAGTGAAAAATCGAGAATTTTCAACTTTGAGAATTTTTTGTGTCGAAACTTTTCATCATTGGTCAAAACGGTTTCCATGTCCCTATCTCAACTTTTTATGTACAGGGTGATTCACCATAAATGTCCCCCCCTCTAGCTCACTCATTTTTGAACCGATTTAAGAATTTGAAAAATAATCTGAAATGATTTTTCAGAAATGTTTTCCCCGTTGCATCAGAAAATACAGGGTGCTCGAAAAAAACAATCTACAGAGTACTACTTGATTTTTTCAAATGGAACACCCTGTATTTCATTGTATTTTTAGATTCTTCCTGAAGAGCTGATTCCATCAATGTATCACACTTGGGGTCTAGCGGGAATGATTACAGAAATATAGGGTGTTCAAAATCGAGATCTTACAACTTCAAGATTTTTTTGTGTCGAAACTATTCATTATTGGTCAAAACGGCTTCTATGTCCCCATCTCAACTTTTGATTTACTATCTACTGACATTTAATTGGAAAATTTACAGGGTGGTTCAAGATTCAGAATTCTGATCACCCTGTATCTGTTCCAATCATTAAATGTCAGTAGATAGTAAATCAAAAGTTAAGATACGGACATGAAAGCCGTTTTGACCGATAATGAACAGTTTCGTCACAAAAAAAATCTAAAGTTGAAAAATCTCGATTTTGAACACCCTATATCTCTGTAATCATTCTCGCTAGACCCCAAGTGTGATACATTGATAAAATCCGCTCTTCATGGAGAATCTAAAAATACAATGAAAAATAGGGTGTTCCATTAAAAACAATCGATTAGTGCCCTGTGGATCATTTGTTCCGAGCACCCTGTATTTTTTTATGTAGCAGAAAAAAACTTTATCGAAAATCATTTGAGATGATATTTCAAATTTTGAAATCTGTACAGAAATAACTGAGCTAGAGGGGGGGACATTTATAGTGAATCATCCTGTACTATCAATTGATATTCAATTGAACAGGATACAGGGTGGTCAAAAATCTTAATTCTGAACCACCCTGTATTTATCTTGTCAAATAAGCGTGATTATTTGCCTGTGTACGATATAACTTGGGATATACCAGTATTTCTTCAATATCTATCACCCATATTTTCGAAAAACAGAAAGGAATTTGTATCACTCTGTATTTTTTTATGTCAGTCTTTCTCAAAGAAAAAATAATAATCTTATTCAGTCAGTACAAACATTATTAAAATTATGTAGTGTTCTTGCTTCTAAATAGATAAAGTAATATGGAAGCAGATTTCAAAAAAACAACGAAGTATTCAAAAATTTATATTAAAAAAATAACGAAAACATCCATCACCCCATTGACTAGGCTACAAATTGTACAATTTCAATTTATCAAAAAATATATAGGTGAGTAATATAAAAAATTCTGTCTATTAAAAATATCACAGAATTTATACTATTCTATTTAATTTTGTATTCAGATAACAAATATGACATACACACACACACATACATATACAGGGTGTTTCATGAGAAGACTCACATAGCCAAATGTTCAATAGGGGAAATCAAGACGAGTTGATGGATATAGGTATATAAAAACAATTTTTGACCCTCCATAACGAAGATACAGGGTATTATGTGAAATTGCTATATAACTTTGATGGTCGATATTACAGAAATGATTCGTCGTAATCTGCTGAAATTTGGCAGCTACGTATCTCTATATACTGAAACTATTCAAGTTAACATACTATGAAAAAATATATCCAGGTCCGTACTTGGGAAAATTTTATGTTTCATTGTTGTGTCAAAAAAGTTCACTTTGTGACCACATTTCTCGAAAAATTCCATCAGATTCAGAAAGATCAGACCAAATACTATGAGAACTGCTCTTCAATTTATACGGTACACTTTGACCGGTTCAATGAAATATAATATGGAACAAAATCGTTCGAATGAATTTTAAATTTCGACCAGGCTGATAACTCTCAACTTTTAACTGGATTCGTGTAAATTGATTTTTTTGTACATTTTTATTGGATAGAAATTGACAGAAGAGATTAGTTCTGATTTTTTTTATGATTTGACATGTTAGTTTTTTGACCGAACTTCTATATACCTTTTCAACTTCAATTTCGGAATCGGTAAGTTATATTTCGGAAAAAGTAATCTCGATTTCAGAATTGGTTAGTTCGATTTCAGAAATGGTAAACTCAATTTCAGAATCGGTGAGATGAATTTCAGAAAAAGTCCATTCAATTTCAGAAATGGTAAGTTGTATTTCAGAATTGGTAGGTTCAATATCATAAAAAAATCCTTATATTTGTTCGAAATGTTTCCAATTGCATGTGAGATTAACAAACCATATTTAAAATATTCAACTTTTCAAAAACAATTTAATCCACAGATGCCTTCCATCTGAATCGCTGGAAGATAGTGGCGTTGCACATGATTATAAGAATGCAAACACATTTGAGGTGTTATCATTTTCATTGAATGATCTGCACATTCTTCAAGACATCGCAGTCTGAATTCTATCTGGATGAGCAATCTGTTCGGATCTCCAGCTATGGCCCTTTGGCGATGCTCTTGCAAGAAGCTCTTCACTTCTGACTTGATATTATGTTCAATCTGATTCAACATAGGGCTCTCAAACACTGTTCCATCCACTGTAAACAATCTTCTCTTTTGAAATTAAAAACATTTCAAACATATAAAAGGATTTCATTTACTGAAATTACAACTCACCATTTCTGAAATTGAATGACCTTTTTCTGAAATTCATCTCACCGATTCTGAAATTGAAGTTGAAAAGGTATAGAGTGTAAGAATATTTCAATTACCAGTGTTTACCTATCAACAAACGCCACGTTACATGAAATAAAAGCAGGGTCCACTTTATAACAAATTTATGAAATAGAGTCACGAGTAATCATATCTATCTATATATAGAAGTTCGGTCAAAAAACTAACATGTCAAATCATAAAAAAAATCAGAACTAATCTCTTCTGTCAATTTCTATCCAATAAAAATGTACAAAAAATCAATTTACACGAATCCAGTTAAAAGTTGAGAGTTATCAGCCAGGTCGAAATTGAAAATTCATTCGAACGTTTTTGTTCCATATTTTTTTATTGAACCGGTCAAAGTGCCGTGTAAATTGAAGAGCAGTTCTTATAGTTTCAATAGAGATACGACGCTGCCAAATTTCAGCAGATAACGACGAATCATTTCTGTAATATCGACCATCAAAGTTATAAAGCAATTTCACATAATCCCATGTATCTTCGTTATGGAGGGTCAAAAAATGTTTTCATATATGTACATCAACTCGTTTTGATTTCCCCTATTAACCATTTGGCTATGTGAATCTTCTCATGAAACACCCTGTACAAAGACTAACGTGAGTCTTTGTTGGTAGGTACCTTCGTCGTGGAAAAACAAAAAAAGGTGGGAGAAACAAAGAAAGAAACAGAGAGATGAAAAGAGAGACAGATAGAGAGGTGAAGAGAGACAGATAGAGGTGAATACAAAGAGAGAGAGAGAGAGAGAGAGAGAGAGATAAACATAGAGAGGTGAATACAGAGGGAGAGAGATAAAGACAGAGAAAGAAAGAGGATAAAGAGGGGAAGCGATAGTGGTATAGGACGGAAATCTATTTCTCATAACTCAGAAATCATAAAATCATTCACTGCCAGTGGTTATGTCATTTGTCACTTGTTTCACAGTATGGATACCACAGATAACAGAATATAATGAAAGGAAAGGAAGGAGCATTTGTTCAAGGTTTGTTCCACGAAATTGGTTTCGAAGATGTCGATTGTCACATATAAAGTGAGAAAATTTTCCTCAGCATACATGTTTTAAATGAATAAATTACTATTCGACATCAACAAATAAAGTGAATGAAATATCTTCCACAAAAAATGATAGGTATACTTCAAACCTACTGGGGACATGAGATTCAATATCATTATTTTTCGAGCTTCATTTGTGTACAGGGTGATTCACCATAAATGTCCCCTCCCCCTCTAGCTCACTTATTTTTGAACCGATTTGAAAGTTTGAAAAATGATCTGAAAGGATTTTTTAGAAATTTTGTTCCCGTTGCATCAGAAGATATAGGGTGCTCGGAACAAACGATCTACAGAGTACTAATCGTTTTTTTCAAATGGAACACTTTGTATTCCATTGTATTTTCAGATTCTTACTGAAGAGCAGATTTCATCAATGCATCCCACTTGGGGTCTGGCGGGAATGATTACGGAGATACAGGGTGTTCAAAATCGAGATTTTTATCGAAAATCATTTGAGATATTTCAAATTTTGAAATCGCTTCAAAAACAACTGAGCTAGAGGGAGGGGGACATTATGGTGAATCACCCTGTACCTATACCTACTAGTAGTTGTGATGGTAACTTTGCAAATGGTGCCTATGTCGCTATTTTGTTTCCTTCCTTCCCTCTTCATATTCTATCACAAACACAATAACAATGACACTACTCTGTTGAGGACAGTTTCAATCTTGCATGGCGGCTATTATGTTAGCTAGGGCAGTTCTAGCGTCCGAATCGGGCAGTTCGTTGAGCATTTCGAGGGCGGCCTTGGAATGGTCCCTCTGAAGATTTTTCGTCATCTCCAGGGCCGGCCCGGCCAAGACGCGACGTCTGACAGCGGCGTAATCAACATTCTCAATGTTGTCCAAACCTTCAAAGTGACAATTTTCAACAGAATCGTAAAAAGGAGAGGAGGTTATCATCTCAAACTAAATAACAATAGATTGAGAGCGCGATTCATAAATCATTAAAAAGTATAGGCCAACAATCCTACACGCCAAACACGGATAGATGAACGAGGAAGTATCCTTTATTGCGGTTTTTATCTCATTGTGAAGATTGTAAAAAATTAATATATACGTATTTTTTCTTTTATTTGTAGGATCAAATATCACGTCAGAGAAATAAATAAGAGAGGAACTTGGTTCCTCCACCATTCCTATGAAGTAATTTCTGAAAATCCATATTCACACAAAGTTAATAGTCATTTTTCCTCGAATCCAACCAGACAAACCAGGTTAACTATATGATGACGTCACGGTTTACTTGTGAAGCTTGACAGATATCAGGTGTTTCTGTTTATTGTTTGGTTTTAGTAGTAATACCTCGAACATCCTGACCTCGACAAATACTAATATATTGGAAAAGAAATTCATCATCTGTAACAAAAACAATTCTCTACGTACATATTTACAAGTAATCAAATATTCATTTTCCATCAATAGTATGATGAGATCTCTGTAAGAAATATTTTTTCTAATCATTTATATAACCTCAGATTATAACAACAACAAAAGCTAAATCAAGTAACTAATCCGTGAAGTACCTCAGTGAGCTGGTTTGTGTGGTTGGCTAACTATAACGTCATAGTTTGGAATACACTTCCAGGAAAATTGACTGGTTAACTTATTGTTCACCCGGTTTGTGTGGTTAACTTCGAGGAAAAATGGCCAAAATGAGATTTCCTGTGCCAGTACGACGTTGCCAACAACATCAATATGTCTACATTTCCGGAAATTGTTCTTTGAATGCATAATAACTATAGCATAACAGCAGCATAGCTATTTAGGTTCTTCAATCTTACTTTGTCAAGTATTATGAATAATTCCCATAAATCTCTCATTGGCTGAATGAAGTTGATTACTTATAAAGATAAATTATGTATTTTGCGATAGTATCTATAATTTGTCACTATCGTTATATTACAATATGTTATTCATAACTTGTCAGTCATTTTTTTGCTAATGTATTCGTTCCTTGATAGAACGGACCTATTTTCTAGGAAAGTTGCATATTATATCTTGCAACAGCGCCTAATACTTCGAGTCCGTCCACACCACTCAAAATACTGACAGACACAACAAGAGGAAGGAGCCTGGGTGTCGGCTTCATTCTGTTCTGACCGATGGCAATAAATTAGGAAGGATAGTATCACTGAATGTAGCCGATAGTGACATTCGCAAATGCTCAGAGCACCCAGTGCCCTCTAACGTACACTACTTTCAACTTTGGAACACACCTACACTCATATAAAGCAGGAATCGATACATTTGGTAGTGCAGACTAGTACTTTATATTACAGCTAGACCTAACTCTTAGTTTCGCTATTCGCTCAGTGATGGCGCTAGTCGAACTCAGAGAAAAAAATCAAGGAATTAGACAAAAATCATCTTTTCAATTGTTTATTAAACTTCAAGAATACAAATAATAATTATATAATTTACCTGAACATATATGTTTTGCAACAAATGTATTGTGAATTTGAGAAAGTATCATCATAGTCTCAATTACAGGTTAGGAAATGAAATTCTCAATTTTCTTTCAAATTAGTATGTTTGAGGTGAATCTCTTGGTCGATCTGTCAATTTCCATCTATTCCTGATTGGAGATTTCAAACTGTCAGCCTGGTCTGTTATAAAGTACCTGAAATAAACAATTAGAAAATATCAATATTCAGCTGTTGTACTTACCAAATTCAGTGGGATAAAATCAGTATTTTTCTGTGTCCAGTCTCTGTTGTTAGTATCACCAGTGGCGGATCTAGGCAGTTTTTCAGGGGGGGGCCATGGGCCGTGAGTTAATGGAATTTTGAAACCAAAGTAATTGAAACCACATGAATAATGAATGATATGTATATGAATATATATATATATATATATAGCACAAAGCCCATGGTTTTAACTTCATCACTTTCGTTTAGGGTGAAACTTTGCACAGGGAATGGTTTTGGTATGAAAATGTTCAGGGACAGCAGAGTAGAAAAAACATCTGAAAAGACCAAAGTAATATGTGTTTCAAATCTGTCCTATTTCTGCCACCAACTTGGGCAAAGACAACACAGTATTTACAATATATTCCTTTGTGGATGAGTGAATACGATAACCATTCATATTTTGTTAAATGATCATGATTTAAATAACGTTTAACGATTCGGTTATTTTTATTGTGTTCCGAAAACGGCAACACTTGGTTACGAGGCGGATGCCAAGTATTTTTCAAGAAATTGTATTTCTCATAGTCATTCATTGTTCGCCCAACTGCTTTACCTATATCGAAAATATTTTCATTTTCCATATTTTCTTCTGACATATAAGGGAGGCCGCACATCAAAGAAACATGAAACCTGAAACGTGAAGCATGAAACATAAAACATGAAATAAGGAAATTGCGGAAAAAAAAACCGTTTCACTTTATATACTAATCAAAGAAACAAAAATAAAATTTGTATAGTCAACAATGGAAAGTGATAACGACGAGGTCGTTGCTGTCGTGTCAACTCTTTTATTACTGTCCAGAAACAAAAACAAAAGAAAACGACGTTACTGGGTGCATCCATACAATGATATAAATCTTAAACATAGTACATATGTGGTTGCAGAGGAATTAAACAATCATCCTGCCAAATTTCAATCATTTTATAGTATTCGAGTACTTCTCTAGGTTATAATTATACAATTCTTCATATTTCTCCACGACAGCAACAAACTCAATATTAAATTCTTGGTCGTTATTCATTTTAAACGCACGTATTTAATTGACCAAAACAATGCAACTGAAACAGAAAAATAGAACACGACCTATTTCATGAAACACGTTTCAACACGATAACAATGTTTTAGGCACATGCATCACACTTGTTTCATTAGTGGGCGGACTTCCATTTCTCTGGCCGTGTTCTATTTTCATGAAACGTGTTTCACGTTTCATGCTTCATGTTTCAGGTTTCATGTTTCTTTGATGTGCGGCCTCCCTAAGGGTTTTGAGATGACGATGATGGTTTCTCCTCACTTTGGATGCTTTGAGATAGTTTTTTAATATTTCCCTCTGATATGTCACGGTTTCCTAAAGCTGAAGATGACGGCCCTGCCTCGCTTTAAATACTTTGAATTGGTTGTTCAATTTTCCGCTTTTTTTGTACTGGCAAAAAGTATGAATTAATCTTCCTTCTATCCATCTGAAAAATTAAAGAGCTCAGCTAAGTTCTCCAGATCGAATAGGTAGGAGATTGAAATTTTTTTTTCACAATGAAACCATGATCATTAAAATACATTTTTTAGTTGGAATAAACTCAGGAATGTAGACATTAAATGATTCTCGAAAATGTATTGAAGATTTATCTGCAGCTCTAAATAGTTTTGTTCATCCAAGTGAGTAAAATTTTATACACTGATTATCGGTTTTCAAAAATATATAAAAATCAATCTCGTTAATAATCTCACTGTTGCGTATGTACCAATGTACCTACTTACCATTTAATTTTTAGTATAATTTCAATTTCACTTATCACTTACTTCTTCTTTCTTTTTAAATGAAAAAATCTGTGAACTGAATCTTACTGTTCTGAAGAACTAATGTGAAATGACCCTTTTCACCCTTTTCTTTCAAAACCAATTGGTGTTTTTTGCGGTTTCGGATAAAAAACAACTACTTATTTCAGTTATTCCCTTTGTTTTTGATTCTTGCCGCTCACCGCCACCGGTCACCGCTTACCGCTAATTTGCATTTTACTGAAGCCCCGGCCTTGAAAATAATTATTTTTCCTCTATCGTTATCTGTTTTGCCGCCCTTTGATCTGACCGCCTGTGTCGTTTTCCCATATTCCCACTGCATACAAGAATATTTCTATATAATATTTGTAAATGATAATGAATGAAATTCAAAAAAGAGTTGATTTGGCATGTTCGAGTGTTTGAGGAACCATTCAATACGAAAACTACGAATACGAATAATTTTGGTTTGTATAACGTAGCTTTGGTTGCATATCCAGACTGATTGTTGAACCAATATCAACTACTTATTCAGAGCTCTGAGGGGGGGGCCATGGCCCCCATGGCCCCCCCCTCAGATCCGCCAGTGAGTATCACCTGTATTCCAGGATTCAGAAAGCATCTTCCGTTTCGTTTTTCACTAGCACTAGTTGTTATTTTCCGGAGTATTTCCAAATCCTAGGAAAATGAGTGGAAAGAATCTGATTCATAGATGGCACGACCATCGCGTTGACAGCGATGTCTGTAAACAGCTTCCTCACAGGTTTCGGGGTGAAGGGGGAAAGCTTCGATTGATTTCGATGGAGTTCGATTGGCTTCTATAGGCTTCCAGGAGCTTGTGGTGAAACTACACAAGGCTTCGAACCGATATTTTCGGGATTAGTGCCTGTTTTTCCCATGAACAGTTTCTCCTGATTTGTGGACTTGTCTCCAGCCATTATATGAGGTGATCATAAACCGAGTGTGAAACTTCCAGTGCTCCAGGCATCCAGAAACTTCAAACACGTGCCGGTTTTTTTTGTGAATCGTAAGTCTATTCTTTTCCACTCAAATTTCCATAAAATCTCTTCATGAATATCTTTTCCATTATTTACAGTTGGTGAACCCAAATTTCTTAATTTCACATCATATGGGGAACAATATGATGTTTTTCTGTCCATTTTTGTATGAAACCCTCTGTAAGGGGTAAGTAGACATTCTCTGCATGAATGTCAGAGAAATAACATTTTTGTTATTTAGGGTTTTAGGTGGGACTACGTCCAAGCTAATATTAACCAGTAGCCAGTGTCCTGGTTACTTGTAGATGTAGTTGTTTTGCTGGGAAACTATAAGGGCAGTATTATCAACCCCTAGCTGTTGCCAGTATTACCATCCTGGGTGGTAG